TTTTTGATTCGTACGGAAAAAATCCCGGCGACTACTCAGATGACATTGAAAAATGGATAGACAATGACTTTGTTATAATGTCGAATACTGAGCGACAGAACACCGATAGTACTGTATGTGGTCAATATTGTATGTTTTTCGTTTTATTACGTTGCTACGGGTTTTCGTATAAAGACGTCATGTCTGCTCTCACTAAGCATAAAGGGGTGAATGATAAATTTGTATGTAAATTCATCAACAAGTTCTTCCGACTAAGGACTGTAGTCCGTGACGCAACATTTATACGCGACCTTATAAGAAATGGTTAAGCCGTTAGCTAAAAAAGCAGCATCAGTATTCTTTGCAGTACTGGTCACCATGCTGCTGGTAGTTTTCAATACTTTAGAAATCGTTTCCTATTTTATCAAGTCTGCTAATCGTACGCAGTTGGAAGAATCAAGAAAAATTACAAAAGAGGTGCTTGATGTGATGGTGAGCGACGAAGCGACGCAAACAGATTAGGTTTTCCCCTTTCTTTTATTGATTTTTTCCCCACCCTCTTTTTTCTATCGCGTGCCAAAAGGCAGCGTTGTAAAATCATCCAACATGATGCGCTTGTCGTAAACAAGCTTCAATTTCTTAGCTAACTGAACAGTATTAATTTCTTGGGTTTTTCCATTTCGTTTGATGTATTCTGGATATACAACCTGAACATGCCCATCCACACCATCCAGTAACCGCTTCAGCTGGTTAAAATCCAAGGCTTTTCCAGTCCGCGTCAGCTCCTTCGTGACCGAGTCCCAATCCAAAATATCTTCCGTAAATCCGTTCTGCATCATACCTTTCACTTTCAACTCAATGCGCCCCGTATCGGTTTCGTAGCTGTACACTTTTGGACCACAGGAGACAAATTTAACGATGTGATTCTCGCCAGCTTCTAGCTGGTTATCCCAGTCCCCAAGAATACTGCCGGTATCAGGAAGCCAGTCGCCAGGCCGGTGGATAAATATTACGGAATCCGTGTCGTAGTACAGCAGGCGCTCGCCCAACTTTTCCATGAGGGATAATAGTATAAGTCGCGCATGGCTGGTGGTGAAAGCGGCAATGACAACATTCGTACCGTTGCTGCCTTCATTGTAGTCATCCACTTTCGAGTGTGTTACCATCAGACACGTTGGGCTTACGCCATAGACATCATGTATTTCAATAGCTTTTGAACGACACAGATCAGAATACCGTTTGGGGTCGTAGACAAACTCCGTTGAGTTCATATCGCAACTTTGACCGGTTTTACCCCATAGACTGTTCACCACAATCTTGGTTGTGCTCTTCTTTCCAGCATCGAAAACCATAGCATCAGGATCCAAGGAAATGCCTTCGCGTTCTTTAACCGTCTGAATAAACTTGGCTTTCTTTTCATCGGTATCGCACCACGCAGGCCAACCACTGGCTTCCATTTTCACTTTTAAAAACTTGTCCATGTATGCCGCAAAGAGCTTGGTGTCAGACTGCGTCCAGTGCCACACTTCATACATTTCCACAACACGATACCCCACATCTATCGCATGATGTAGTTCCGGTGTCGCCCAAACCCCTTCGAAACAGCGATCATCGTCTGTATGCGCACAGCGGCTCGCCGCTTTTTCCATCGCGCATTTTTTGCACAGAACAAACATGAGCTTGCCGTTTATCGTGGCTGGTAAGACTGGATACAGGCATTGATCCGGAGCCGCTACCTTGCAGTAGACCAGTCCAAAATAATCTTTGGCATCCTTGAAATTGGACACGATTACTTCAGGATGGCCAACCGGGTATGCCTTGGTCTTGTTTACGAATGGGTACAAGCTAACAACGTCATAGTGCCTAATTTCTTCGTCATCTTTCACTTGGTAATACAAACGACTGGCATTCGTACCCTGACTACCCTGACTTTCAAGGAAGCGTTCGCGTTCCTGGAACTCTTCGTAAACTTCGCGCATTTTCTTCTTGGAGTATGGTACAACATCGTTTTCTTCAGTACAGAAAGGATGTCCATGGAAGACGCAGCCGTTATACTCGTAAACGGTTTGTGTCTCCTTGTCAAAACCGTCTACAAAGTATCGCCCAATTTTAACTTCTTTACCGTTCCGACCATGGCGTATACGGCCGTTTGCGCTCATGTTCTCCCATTCCAGCCATTGCGTGGCTTGAATACTAGTCCGTCGGTTTCGGTGCGGTCCGTGACTGGATAACGCGGCAACTTTGTTCTCGGGAAGGTGAAACATTCTCCAGTACCGGTAGCAGGCCGAAGGCATGGTCATACTTTCCATTGGATTCAGCGACGTCAGAGCTTGGTAATCGCTGATAAACTTTAACGCACACACACGCAAAACCGTAACATCGTTCGAGCAATATGTCATCATCTGCTCGCGAAAATTGAACACCCCATTGGCGGCCGCTTTAGCTTCAGCGTGCCACTTAAGAAATTCTTCTTTTTGCTTTCTTCGCATTCCATCAATCATATACTGTTCCGGCTCGGGCCAGGGCAAATCAGTTTTATCCCAGTTTTCAGGCTTATTAAATCGATGTGGGAAGTCGCCTTTCTGCACTTCGATTTCCAGGCCAACCGCTTTTGGTAACTGACTCAACTTCAAAGCCAGAAAGTTAAGGGTATCACGTGACCGGATCCCCAGTTTGCGGTACCGCAATTCCAACAACTGCGTCCCACGCTTGATGACCTCCACTCCTTTCAAACCATTGTCCAACATGTACTTCAGAACAAAATGTCCATCATAGCCTCGAAAATTGTGTGCTATGATAGTGAATCCCCGATGCTTTTCTTGAAACAGCCAGCGCCCAAATGCCTCATCAACTTCCGCATTCATCGGCTGACCATCTTCCGGAAAACGTACTTCCGAACCATCAGCATATTGCGCAACGATGCATGTGGGCACGTGACCATTCACTGGATCGTTGTAGGTTTCGTAATCGAAGAAAATGTATTTCATTTCTTCTTTCTGCCATGGTGGCGGTGCCTTGAGCGGCTTTATGTAGCACAAATGCGTAGCTTGGAGAAAAAAACCATTGCACGTGTTGCAATAAATTTCCCCGCACTGGTGTGTTACGTTTTGCCACGAATGGATAGGTTCACAAAAACACCGCATGTCTGGCAGATGAACATTTGCTCGCAATAATTCTTTCCATTTTTTCTTTTCTTCTTATGGATATCGTAACACTGTTGGTTGTGGAACCGACGGCTGCATTCAGTGCAGGAGATTGGATTGTCCACGAGACAGTCGCTCTTGTTGCGGTAGCACGACCTACATTTCCCCTCGCAACGATGACGTTCTTTATGATGATACGGTCGATCGCAATCATTGCAGAAGTAGGGTGAGCAGTAAAAGCCTGTCGCGGTTGTGACCAGGTCAAAATGCTCATTGTCCAGCAACAAAAAAATCTCCTGCATATCATGGGTTTTACGTTCGGGTACCCGTGCAATAATCATGTCGCCTTGATTGGCCGATATAACTTTAATTTGAAACTCGGGAAATTCATTTTCCTGTAGCACACCTAGGGCATCAAGGTCGCAGTAATGGCCAGGTTGCAGATCGCAGTTATTCATTATCTTGATGGCCTCCGCTTCCAAGCTGCGAGTGCGGTTAGCGCGAATATAATTGTTCCATTTATTCTTATGCTGCGGAACTTCAAGGTCATGCGTCAGGCGAAATTTCCCCAGGAACAACGCGGCAGGCAAGCACAGGTTATTTTCTACACGGACGCTTACAATGGATTTCTTGAAACGATTTCTGTCATGCTTAACATGCTGATGCCTGAGGAACCAGGATCCACCAGCCGGCATGATAGAACGCCAGATCCGTATGGTGAAAGAATCGTCAATCACCAGCTTCTGGCCGGAGTTCAGAAGCTCAATACGATGCATAAAAGCGGGTATGCTAAAGTCAGAGAGCTTTCGCATGGTTAAATAGAACGCTCTTTCAAGCCCATCCGATTTGAGAGCCACAACAACACGGTCCGTCGGGGCAAATTCTTTAAAGCACAAATCCATTATGACGCGCAGGATTTCCGGCATGATGAGCATGGTTTCTTCCTTTGCAAAAATTCGCGGTAGCGAGGCTATCTGGACACGGTATTTCTGTTCAGTGCTGTTGAAGGTTTTGAAAACGCGTTCCGACTCTTTGACCAATTGAAACAGACTTGAGAAATCGGGCAGCGATTCATCTCGGACCACATTTCCACCAGCTTGCGGCACTGGAGGATCTTCATACTGCCAGTCGTCCAGTTGCGCAAGAGCAAGAGCGGCAGCTAAAGATCCGGGGCTCAACTGATCAACCTGATCCAGGTGCAGCAAAGCCGTTGCTAGAGTCTGTTCATCGTGTTCATTGAACTCATTGGGATTAGCAATCATGTGATCAAAGGCTGCTTGATCTTCAACGGTTAACTGGTACGCATCATTAACTTGCTGCTGCTGCTGCTGCTGCTGCTCATCATCGACATCCATCCACGGCTCACTGAGAATGGCCGCAATAGCCGCATGATCAGAAGCAGTCAACTGATAAGTCATTTTTGCCAGACGGGAAAGATTAAAATGAAGAAAAGTCTCGTGCCGCGCGGCTTTTATACACGAGCTGAATTACTGTAGCGTGTGCTTATTGGTCTGATGTTTTCTGTAATACGATGTAATTGGTTAACACTGTTTAAGCCACACCTTTGGGCGTTCCAGTGGGCGCGAGTGGATACTTACCGGCGCTAGCAGCGCCGGTAAGTAACCGCTCGGCCTTTCTTTCGACATGTTTTAACGTGAAAAACTAACGAAAAAGAACCACGTTGTATTATTTCCACAGCAACAACAACAATCTCCATCAAAAACAGTCTACACCACAACATTGTAATTCCACTATTACTGTAACCATTATCCCACGGTATGCGGTATCAAATAAGAGGTATGAAAACTGTACTGCCATTATCCCATGGTATGTATTGTATGTAAAGACAAAGCCATAAAAGAAAAACACTACGACATTTTAGTTTTGCGTGTTCATCTCAGTCTCTTGCTTCTTGGCAGGCGGTTCCTCGGTGTCGTTGTCGTCGTCGTCGTCCGAATGCTTCCGTTTGTTGCCGCCTTCGACAGTGTCCACAGGCTCAGTGCCGTTCAGGTACTCGTCCAAGTCAATGTCTCCTACCAGGAGAGTGTCGTCCAATTCCTCTTCGGCTTCGGTCTCCGGAATCGCGTCGATTTCTCCTTCTTCAGCTTCAGTCGCCGGCTCACTCTCCAACGTGTCGTCTGCGAGAACGTGTTCACCTTCTTCTTCGTTTTCGTCACCCAGGTCGCTTTCAGCTTCATCCGACGGATCGCCCTCAAAGAAACCCGAGTCAAGCGAGTTGTCCGGGGCGCCAGCAACGCGTTCGTAGTAAAAGTCGTGCAGTCGCTTCTACAAAAATCAAGTAATGAATATAAATTGAATTTTGCACAGAAAAATACATCAACGGCGAGGGTTCTTACCATAAAATCAGTAGACGAAGAAACACGAGAAGGACGCCAGCATTGCGAGTGTAACGCTGAAGATCGAACCACATATTCTTCGCCTGCGAGTAGTACGTGTAGTAGGTGTGGATCTGGTCAAACTCAGTGCGTGAAGCCCAGTCCGAGATCAAATTGTTGGCTCGCTCTAAAATGTTAAGCATTTTGTAAGTGTTGGAACAGACAAACACAAAAATCTTAAAAAAAATTGGAAAATTCAGTGTCTCACCAATGTACTGTGCAAGTAGTGGAAATTCGTCAGGCAAATCCGGAGTGGGAACAACGAGCCGATAGTAGAAATCGTGAAGTTGCTTCTACATAGAAAATTTTGAAATTAGCAAAAAATCGTAAACCAAAATCAAAGTAGAATTAAGAAATGTAAATTCAGGTGAAGAATAAAATTTACAGTGGCTGCTTACCAGAAATTCAGCGACATGGAGAAACAAGACGAGAGCATCATAATGGCGGATGTAGTAAGCAAGGTCAATCCACAAAGCATAGGCTAAGTTGTAGTAGCCGGAATAACGCCGGATTCTGCGGCAGTGGTTGAGAGCCAACCAATCCGAAAACAATTCATTTGCGATCTCTAGAAGAAGCCGAGGTTTTCTTTAGGCAATAGAGTAATAACCGTGTTATAAAAAGCCTCAATACAAATTATGAAAGGTCACCCTTACTAATGTCAGAATATTAAATTTGAAAGTTATTAGTTACAAGTTATTAGTAATAAGTTATTAGTAGGTACTGTTTGAACTTACCAGTGTACTCTTCAAGCAGGGAAACTCGTCAGGAAAATCAGGAATAGCCATGGGGATGCTGAAGATCCAGTTGCAGTGGTGCGTAAAAGAAAACTGTCCGAATGATTTGATTTTGTGTTAGAGAAATCGACTTATATCCTCTGAGTTGGAACTCGACATTTTTTCTGGTGCGCAGCCATTGGCTGCAGGTGATTTGTAAACTCCCACTACCCTTGACCAGACTGATGTGGTCCGAAGCAGAGAGTTTTTGGTCTGGTGGACACTGGTTCTCTAACGATGTGGGTTGGGCTGTATGATACGTGGAGCTACCAAGGAAAATTCCTTTTGACCCATTCGGTAAGAAGGGACGAGGGGAGAACCATTGTAAGACTCCGGAAAAACCGTTTCTTAAACAATGGAAGTCGCGACGGAATCCGGGTCGCAGATATCAAGGTACCAGACCAAATCAAAAAGAGCGTGTAACCCAGATAAATAGGATTATGTCGGTACTAAAACAATGCAATCCTTGTCAGTGTCGCGACGAATCCGGAATATTAGCTAGGCAACAGGGCAAATGAACAGGAGCACGACAGCCATTATACCAAAATTCTCAAACAATAGAAACCAGGTCGCTGACGCGACTTATTCAGGATCTGTGATACGGATGCAGGGTAAATCAAATTGTCGCTTGACCTAGAAAAACAAGAACATAATGGCTCTTATCCGGGTCGCGAGACGGATTACTGTTTATTACTTGTCATCCAACCTCTTGTCATAGGTCTCCTCTCAACTTTCCTTTACTTCAACACATACCGAAAATTCCACAGAAACTTGTCTTTTCTCTTAACATTTGTACTAAGAAACTCAACCGTATGCTTCGTGCCTTGTTGGTTAAAACTTTTTCCTTACACGTATGTACGGGAAAAGTTAGGTTTAGTCTTACGAAGGAGAAAGAGCCTTAACCAGACCGACTGTAAGGAAACAAAAGGACATGTACAGTGAAAAATCTGGAAACGAAATTTTCGCTGATATAAACCAACTGCAGCCACAGTTAATCCATCAGTTGCTTGAGCAGCAGTTTTTGGACGCTTCTTGGATCTTTTTGTATTACCTTATAACAGCGCTGTATACTGTTCTGTTAGTAAGCTTAAGTTAACGAGTGACCTTTGCATAATGTCTTCCCGAGCAGATTCAGTAGCATCTACCGGATCTTCTTCATCCTCATTGTCCTACGCATCATCCACTTCCTCCGATGGCGTGTATCGACCATACAACTTGGTTGATCCTCGTTGTCCGTTTGCTAACGCTTGTCTGGAGATCGATCAGTTTTTTTATGTGCTCACTCATACGCCAACGACTGCAGAGCTGGCTGCCATCTCCAATAGAGCATTCGGTAAGACAATTTTCAAATTATTTTTTTTGTCTATTATTACAACAAAATTAAATTAAACAGAAATTGCTAACCGTATACGCCGTGATATGCTGGCCCGACGTCCAAACATAAGCGCCATGGATAATCTTCCTGATGCCTGGGTGCATGCTATCCATCTGGCTAATATGATTTTGGTAAGTTCCACGATAGATTTGGTTTAGTTTTTTGCCCCGCCTTCAAAGGAGTGATATATTTTGTTAGCAAAAATATATTGGCCGGATTCTTTATATAGTATAGTTTTATACCATTTACAGGAGACATTCAGTTTTTCCATGACGCCCGTCTTATTTCTTTGGTTGGTCCGTATGGTCCTTGCGCCGCCTACAATTCAGTCTACCAGTTTGGCGTGACCGGCACCGTACCGTTCATTGGTGAGAACCCTTAACCGCCTCGCAGCCTCCCGCACCGCCAAGTCCACCACCACCTACTGGCTTCTACACTCCAGCCAACGACTATTCTGCAGACAACACCCACCACATCCACACTCCAATCAACGACGGCGGCGTCTATACTGCCGCTTACGGCAGCGTCTACTCTCCGTTGCCTGACGACCATGAGCAAGAGCTAGCATTTTCCCTGCCACAACGTTCTCGCACTCCGGAACCGACCCAGATGGTGGAGTACAGTCCTGCTTCTCCTGACATGTCAACTTTGAGCCATTACCTTACGCAGCCAGCACATACCTCTCGTTGGAATGTTGCCCGCGTTGCCCGGGATCGAATGCCTTCACCGATTCGCACACAGCCCTTCAATTTGATTCGCTTGACGTCACCATCTTCTCCCAGTAGTCCATACCGCTCACGTCTGTTGGATGCGCCACGAGGTGGACGCCGCCGCTCTTCAACTCCACCGTCACCCACAGTGCCTTCCACGTCTGATGCTTTTACTACACCGACTCGCAATCCATGCCGATCACGCTTTGTAAATGCACCGCAACGCCGCCGCCGCCCGCCAACACCGTTCCATTCAACGACTCCGCGCGCATCAACGCCAGTACAAGACTATTCACCAGAGGACCAGACCGCCGTTGAAAGAATCAATAGCCTTCTTTCCCAACCTTTTATCCTTGACCAAATTAACCGCATCGCTAACTCACTCAGGGACCATTATCCGGAGGAAATTTACAGCCAGCCGACTACGCGAAAGCGCTCCACCAATTCGCCGAACGAATCAGACCCCCGCCGTCGCCGCTATAATTAACTCGCAATTTGCCTAATTTCTAATATTTCTTGTTTTTAAAAATTGTTTTGTTTGTTAGGAATCTCGGACTTGAACCATTGGTCACTGTCTTGTGTCTTTGTGGTAGAGGTTTAGCCTGGAACTAATGTTGTGGTATGTTGTACTACTGTTGTACTAATGTTGTACTAGCCAACTGTGTTATGTTGTAGTGGGTGGCGATTTGTATTAAACTACGTTAAACACAGTGTGTGGTGCCATGTATTAAACTATGCTGTCTAGCTTGTTTATAAGCACGAAGAAGCTCTGTCTAGCTTAATCATTAAATCAAGTTTTTAGTCTATCTGCACTGGTATAATTGTAACAAGGATAGGTCCGGCTGTATAGGTTAAGATACTATTACATTTTGTGCCCATTCATTAAGTAAAAGAATGTCACGATTAGCTCCGGTTAGCTTCCATGAATACGGAACTACCGTATTGTTTTATGAGATGAGTGGCATCGTTCTTTGAATATTAAATGCTTTTAATCCGGGTTCAACGTGTTTGTAGTCGGGAGTTTATTGTATATCAAATTATACACTAGCGGTCTATGGGTCAATAAAACAAAACCCTTTTATCAACAGAGGTTTCATTAGTATCCGGGTTAATAAGACAGCTAGTGACGTAACACAGTGGTCCGAGCGAAGCGAGAATACGCGCCCTCTCGGTGTGTGCGCGTGAAGCCGAAGCCCAATTTCAAGTCTGTGTAATAGATGGCTGTTGTATCAGTACGCTCGTATTAGTTTAAGCCCGCCCACATGGGTTCTCTCTGATATTAGCGCGTTTCAGTCACTCATTGTTTTAGGAACGGTTTTTATTGGTGGATTCCAAACTGAAGTACGTCCACGTAGGTTTCTCTCTGATATTAGCGCGTTTCAGTCACTCATTGTTTTAGGAACGATTTTTACTGGTTGATTGGAAACTGAAGTACGCCCACGGAGGTTTCTCTCTGATATTAGCACGTTCCAGTTACTTTCGGTAATACAAGCAACGTTGGTATTGTTCAGTGAAACGTTACGGTTGGTTACTAGTATATCAAATTATACACTAGCGGTCTATGGGTCAATAAAACAAAACCCTTTTATCAACAGAGGTTTCATTAGTATCCGGGTTAATAAGACAGCTAGTGACGTAACACAGTGGTCCGAGCGAAGCGAGAATACGCTCTCTGTGCGCGTGAAGCCTGCTGCGCTCGGCCGCGGCTTTGGCTTTGCGCGCGCGCCTCGAGGGCGCTTTATAATGGACCTATGGTACACATCTTTATAAAGTGTTTTTTTGTTTCTGCGACAAATCATTGAACCAGTATAACTATTTTTTAAACACAGTTTAATAGACCGACAACAGATTTCATTCAGAGTTCACATCAAGAAGTTATTGTTAGACATATTGTTATTGTTAACATTTTCTTAACAACATTGCACCCATCAACCGCAAGTTACATAAAAGCCATCATTAGCAAAATGGTTTAGCTAAGGTAACAACATGAAGAAGAGAAAACAATTCATCAGTCTAAGTAATAACCAAATGCGTTCAACCAGCCCTCCACTTCGGTCATACCAACTGTGTCCTCCATCGCACTGTTGTCCAATGAATACTGAGTAGACGCAAACGGCGGCTCGAATTCATCATCATCGATGTCTCCCAAGAATCCGTCGTCCATTTCATTACCGCCGTCTTCATCATTGTCCTCCATGTCGGTATCCTGGCCTCCGTCCAAACGACCGCTTCACCCCCATTATCCGACTCAAAGCAAAGCGTTTTCATACCTTCATCCGAACTGTCAGAGTCATCCAAAGTAATGACGGGCGGCTCTTCTTTGTCTTCAATGATGATAGGATTTTCGGCACTGCCAAGTGGATCGTCTTTCACGGTAATCACGGTTTGAGTGTTCGGGAACGTAAACTTCTGCGGAACGAGGATGCACTTTTTCACTGGCAATGGCGCCTTGAAGTGTGGAGACGGTGGAGTAGGAATAGTCGAAGGGACAGGCAGGGTGTCTTCAATGGTCGTACCGTCAGCGAACGTTGCCTGGAATGTAATAGTACCCGAGGAAACAATGCGGTGCTGGCTAACGGGAAACTCCATATGCAGAGTAGTCGGCTGGTCAGCTGTGACAGATACTGGGAATGGTTGAGTAGGCTCAGTGATGACAGCCGCCGGCAATGGTGGAGTAGGTTGAGGTGGCTCAGTGATGACAGCCGCCGGCAATGGTGGAGTAGGTTGAGGTGGCTCAGAGAAGACAGGTGGTGATGGTTGGGGGGTGGGCTCCCGCTGCCGGGTAAAATCGTAACCGCCAAAGTCCGGGGTTGGAGAACGGCTTGACGGTGGAGAGGGTGTCGGTGATTGGATTACCCGCTTGGCTTGGTTTTGCTTCTTCTTCGGCTTGGCTTTGAAGTGGATGGCTTCACTGATGATGAAGACTTGGCTTTGAGCTTCTCCTTCTTCTTTCGGTCACGCCCACACTGCCTGCCATTATGATGGGAACCGTATCCAGTTGTAAGTTGGTACGACGCGGATCGGGAACAATGTCACAACTCAAAAGGCAACCGACCACTAAACATATTATACGGATGTAGCATTATTTTTGTGAAATAAAATAAAAAGTCAATATACCTCCAACCGGTTGACCGCATGTAGCAAACGGTCTACCTCCTTTCCCGGCTTACTCCATGTACAGCTTCCGACAAACTTCTTGACACTTGCACACAGATCTAATAAATTAAATTTTCATTGTTTAAGTTTAACCCTTTTAACAAATATAAACGAAAACGTACCGATATTATACTGGGCACACTCCCGTTGCTCTTGCTCCGAAATATCGTCCCACTTGGTTTTCAACCCTTTGATTATAGCTACAAATAGTTTTCTCTTAGAAAAATACTATTAAATAATTTCGATAATAAAAAAATAAATTTATAAAAAATTTATGAAAGGGGATAAGACTTACCACACTGCTGGCGGCACCACTCCTGATAATCCGCAAGATACTTGAAGGGAGCCATGGAGCAAAAGATAAACTGAACTAACTAAAAATATAAGGGAGATCCTGGCAGGTATTCCAAGGTAGGTGGATTGGATTAAAAAAAACTTTGGAATGAAAAAATTTGCTTGGTCGCTGAGGTTTTATACTCAAAAAAAGTGTAGGTTTCAACTCTTAAAAGTTAACATAACGTATGAACTATTGTTTTAGTTACTTGTACTACGCAACCCGTTAACTGAACTCCGTTGACCAGACTAAAAATTGACGTTTAGACTAGTAACCAACCGTAACGTTTCACTGAACAATACCAACGTTACTTGTATTACCGAAAGTAACTGGAACGTGCTAATATCAGAGAGAAACCTACGTGGGCGTACTTCAGTTTCCAATCAACCAGTAAAAATCGTTCCTAAAACAATGAGTGACTGAAACGCGCTAATATCAGAGAGAAACCTACGTGGACGTACTTCAGTTTGGAATCCACCAATAAAAACCGTTCCTAAAACAATGAGTGACTGAAACGCGCTAATATCAGAGAGAACCCATGTGGGCGGGCTTAAACTAATACGAGCGTACTGATACAACAGCCATCTATTACACAGACTTGAAATTGGGCTTCGGCTTCACGCGCACACACCGAGAGGGCGCGCGTGGTCCTCGCTTCGCTCGGACCACTGTGTTACGTCACTAGCTGTCTTATTAACCCGGATACTAATGAAACCTCTGTTGATAAAAGGGTTTGTTTTATTGACCCATAGACCGCTAGTGTATAATTTGATATACAATAAACTCCCGACTACAAACACGTTGAACCCGGATTAAAAGCATTTAATATTCAAAGAACGATGCCACTCATCTCATAAAACAATACGGTAGTTCCGTATTCATGGAAGCTAACCGGAGCTAATCGTGACATTCTTTTACTTAATGAATGGGCACAAAATGTAATAGTATCTTAACCTATACAGCCGGACCTATCCTTGTTACAATTATACCAGTGCAGATAGACTAAAAACTTGATTTAATGATTAAGCTAGACAGAGCTTCTTCGTGCTTATAAACAAGCTAGACAGCATAGTTTAATACATGGCACCACACACTGTGTTTAACGTAGTTTAATACAAATCGCCACCCACTACAACATAACACAGTTGGCTAGTACAACATTAGTACAACAGTAGTACAACATACCACAACATTAGTTCCAGGCTAAACCTCTACCACAAAGACACAAGACAGTGACCAATAGTCCAAGTCTAATACTCCAAGTAATGCTGTACGTGGAGACGACGAATCCGACCCATACGATAATCTTGCAGTATAACTAGGGGTTGGGCTACACGGTGATGAACCAATAGCTGGCGAGCACACTGTGCTAGGTGTTTTGCCTTGAGTTGACACGACTGATAGATACTATATAAACGCTAGCATTTCAGTGCGGCAGTTCAGTTGGTAGCCAAAATGGATATGACACAGATGAGCAATCGCTTCGGGAGTTTTGAAAACTGGCCGGATCAGTCCCTTGCCCCTAAAGAACTGGCAAGCCAAGGGTTCTTTTATCAAGGGCAGCATGACGAAATCCACTGCGCATACTGTGGCTATATTATGGGTGACTGGGTGAACTCACGGTATAAACCATACTACCGACACCGTTTAGCACGTCCAGACTGTGTTAGGGCTATGGAGGAATCCGGATCAAGAAAACACATTCCGCACTCACCGGCAATGAAAGACTACAAGACACGCTTTGCTACTTACGCTGAATGGCCTGCTAACAAGCACCAGCAACCCAGAGATATGGCTGCAGCCGGCTTCTATTATGAAGGCCGAGATGACTGTGTTCGCTGCTTTCACTGTGGTGGTGCACTTCATGCTTGGGACAAAGATGATGTTCCGTGGGAAGAGCACGCTTGGACTTACCCGAAATGTCCGTATCTTGTACAAACAAAGGGCTCAGCATTCATCAACGATGTTCGTAAAAAACGCCAAGAAGCCGAAACAACATGTTGTGGATTAACACGAAAAGCTCAAGAACCTACAACTTCTGAAGACCCCAAAGAGAAATTACGCTGTAAAGTCTGCTAAGAAAATGATTCGGAAATCATGTTCAGACCATGCGGTCATTTAGTTTGCTGTGCAAAATGTTCAAGCAAGCTGCTGCTGTGCCCAATTTGTCGGGGTGTCATTTTCCATAAGTGCTGGGCTTTCTTCTGTTAGTTTTTATTGTCTGTATCATGCATGTTCATTCATGTTCATAGAAAAAGAGGGTGGGGAAAAATAAACCAAAGAAAGGGGACCAACCGGTTCAAACCGACTGAAAACCGAACCGATTACAAGCCGAACCGCGGACCGGTCGAAAACCGGACCGATTCGGAGCTGACGGTAAACTAGCGCTATATCTTCTCGTGTTACGTGGCTAAACCGGGTGGCGTGGCGCCGTAGTACGGAATTAAGCGTCACCCCGTCAGTTTCGAAAGTTATTTACTGTATTTACGAATTCTCGATCTGTCGACAGGCTTGTACTGCGTTGTACAAACTGACGATCTACGACCACAAGGCGTACTGGACAGTTTGTTTCTGACCTTTAGCGGACTTCTTTCCGGCTCGACACCTTATTTAAAGACGAAAAGCATGTACGGCCAGTTATAATTATTATTATTATTATTCTGCTAAGGCCACGCTCTATGGAAAAGTCTGGCTGCACTTCAATTAGACTCAGTAAACTTATTGACCAGATGCTCCGGTAAGTCCGGAGGTCCCGAAAAAAAAATGGAAGAAAAACGTAGATGTACATGATATCTCGTCACACCTACAGATAGTCGAATAGACGTCAGCATATAAAAAAGTTAAAGTGTCAAAAGTATGAAAAAAAGCGTTCAGTATTCGTATTTAAAGTATTGCAAGCTCTGATTGCATTGTTTTTTTTCTGGGACCCGTGGTCCAGTATCATCTTAATAACTTTTGTAAAAACTTTCACGTTTTTTCCGTTTTTTTGTGTGGCTGGAACATCTGTGAATTTTCTATCGCTTTCCTCGTGCGATTTACGTAGTTTAATTTTCCTTAAGTGAAAGACTGAAAGGTTACGGCTATGTACCTTTTTAACCCACGGAAACATCTAAGTTGCTTTTTTTATTTGTTAAATTTGCGCAGGCTGACAGGCGCTGCGCGTTGCACGTTGTGCTAGCTTGCAGTATCTGTACACAGAACAACTACAGTTTCCGTCCTCCGAAGTCGTGATAATCACTAAGTACTGGGAAACATGCACGTTGTCGTGCATTGACAGACCGGAGCGCAGCACCTTTATGCGAGTGATAAATAATTTTTAACGTCCTACCATTAGCACGTCCTACCATTAACACTTGACATATAATTATTAATTTCTAGTTAGCAACAAAAACAGCCAGCAACACTTTCCTAACGACCTTCCGTAACGGACAGAAATCAACGAAAGCTTAGTCTGGACTCTTAAATACACAGAACCTTCGCTACGCTCCGGTCGAATAGTTAATTTGCAGTCTTGCCTGATTCAGTTGCTAGATTTATGCACTTGCTTGAATCGAATACACTGAAATGAGTGAATGTGTACAGCACTGTTAATGTCGCGGTAGCTGTGCTAAATGGACAAGTCGACTGTCTGACAACACTTTTCTACTGTGCGGAAAAATACAACAATTTGACTGTTGCTACGGCACCGGACATCCGCTATAAGTATATAATAATGATACTGTACTTAAAATAAAAACTATGGAAAAATGCATATTGTCGTGCACTGGCCGACCCGGAGCGTAGTAGCTTTTTGGTTATGCGAGAGATAATTGATTTGTAACGTTCTACCAGTGGCACGCTTAATAATTGACCTATTTATCAGTTTTAACTCAGCAACAAAACCAGCCAGCCATACTATCGTAACGACCTTCCGTAACACCCTTTCTTAGCGGATAGAAATCAACAAAAAGCACTGGTTTTGAACATAGAAGACCTCCGCTACGCTCCGACATTAATTAAACTACAGTATACAGATTTTATAGATCTTGCCAAGCTTTATTGCGTGATTCTCATGGCAACAACCAAACACAATTGCTACACACAGCACACTCGTAAAACAGTCTTTTCTGTATTTTGTTTTCGGTCGCTAAACCGTCGGTTTATACGGTTGCCTAATATTTATTTACTGTAGAAAAGATGCCGAAAGAGTGATGATGCGCTGTCAAACAACGAAGATCCTGCTGAGATTCCCGGGAGAAGGACAATCCGTCACGCATCCGTCTGGTATTAAGAGGTCAGTTTTAGCTGCGCGGCCAGTCGTCGCCCCAGCCAGCGGGATATGAATCGATGGGATGAACAGTGTGCACGGTGTTAATTGGCGTTGGCTTACAATGAGCCAGATACTTTGAGATACTCTGGGATAGCCGTTTGTCCAGCACCGGCAGGAGAGTGTCCTGTCCATGAATGCCACATCCTGATCCTCCATACGGTGTCCAGCCCACCAGGATGACGAGCTGGACAGCGCAGCGCATCATGATCGTTGTTCTAATAATTATTCTCTCCGTTGGCTTTTTCGCATTAGCCCCGACTCTACCGACATTCAGCCAGTTCGCGCGTCATTTCAGCTATAGGCGATCAGCGCCACCCTGGAAGGACATGAATCCGGTAACCACTTTGAATAAGCCATTGTGCTAGTTCTGCCTTAACCACATTTCGGATGCGTTCCACATTACAAAACTTGGTATTCCTTAGTACTCTCGCATATATAACCTTGTCTAGAAACCTTACTTCGTTTTGTCTCATATTTCGGGTCACTTTAAAATGTATATACAACAAATAATACAAAGTATAAAAACGTATACTTGAAATGACCGAAACATGAGCCAAAACGAAGTACCAGTAACTATTCAGCAGACGATTTTTGCAAAGCTTAAGAGTATCGTGTCTCCGGCGGCCGGTGCGCGAATCCATAGGGTGACAATGTCGGCAACGCGATCAACGTCCCAGTATAGAACTTATAAAAAAACGTGTCACCTTTCATTGTAGAATTGTGCGTCCACCGAAGCCACCGCCCAAGAGCCGGACGCGGACATGGACCGGCTGCGTTGCGGCTTACTGCTGCGTATGTCTGGTCGGATCGCCGCGGCACAGCAATACCGTCAGCAGCGGCGCCAGGCGTTCCCGACGGTCTCCAACAGCACGCCCAGCGGTGCATCTCTGGCCCGATTCCTGACGTACAATTTCCGGCCGATCCTGGACGCGGGACTGGGCAATTTCTTGTTCCAGACGGCCACGCTGGTGGGCTGTGCGCACCACAACCACCGCATTCCGGTGCGGATTAGCCACGACCTGCGGATGGTCCTGTTCGAAGGAATGGATATCGACTACATGGACCCGTCCGTCCTCTTCCCGAACAATTCGCTGGCAGCGCAGACTCTGGGTAAGCGTGGATATAGATCTTCTTAAAACTTTGCTGTAAAAGTAACATGACTATAAAGTCGAAAGTGAACCAATATCAGATCCATAGCAATTTTTTCCGATTTTAAAATGAATTTCAAAAATTTTAATTCATTTTAAATTTATGGGAAAATGCTATGAACGTGAAATTAGTTCACTTTCGACTTATGACCATGCGCCTATTATAGCAAAGTTTCAAGAAGATCGGTTATAACCAGACTTTTGGTACACAACAATGCATTCAAACTTTTCGCCCATTTTAATACGCCATATCTCAGCAATCGGATGTTGCGCGCACAAACGGTTTTCAGAACAGCGTACACAATTCATTTAGCTTTAGAACGATATAAAGTAATACAAAGAAGTAATACGGAGTGCGCGAAAGCCAAAGTTTTAGCGTATGCGTCTCATTTTTGACGCTATGTATCGGGCCATTTTCCTTACGACTTATGACGCTGTTTGTTTAGGCGACTTGGGTCCGGGAAAGTTCACTCCCGTCTTCCACAACATCAGTTCGCGCTTTCCCCACGACGCCGCGGCGTTATCCGGGTACGGGCAATCCTGGAAGTATTTCCACGGTGTCGCCCCCGAGATCCGCGCGCTGTTGACCTTAAAGGAAGCCATTCAACGGCAAGCCATCAACGCCATTCTGGAGGGTCTGCAGAGCCTGCGCCTTCGTGGCACCCTGAGTCGCGGTAGTCACAACCAGCAGCCGGTGCGCGTGGGGATCCACGTGCGCCGCGGCGACATCGTCAACAACGCCGGGTTCGCCGCGCACGGCCACGTGGCCGCCACGGAGGAGTACCTACTGCGCATGGCGCTGCGCATGCAACGCCGCTACCCGCACGCCGTCTTCTTCGTCCTCAGCAACGACCTGGAATACTGCCGTCGGCTCTTCCGCGAACCCAACGTCGTTTTCGTCGCCGGGAAGCCGGCCACCGTGGACCTGGCCGTCATGACCTTTATGGATGTGCTGGTGCTGAGTGTGGGCAGTTATGGATGGTGGGCGGCGTACCTGAGCGACGCGCAGGAGGTCGTCTATTTCAAGGACTGGCCGCGCAATGGCAGTGAGTTTGCGCGGGGCCTGGCGGCGGAAGACTACTTCCTCCCGGCATGGCACGCTGAGAATTAGCCGGGTAACTGCTCAGTCAGCGCCAGCAATCACCAACGACAGATCCTTTCAACTACGTCGCCGTCTGGTGTCTATGGCATACTGCTTCGCGCTTTTGAAATAATCGTTCTACTAAAGTCTGATGCTCGTAATGTTTGTTTTTACAAGTTTCAGTGCTAAAGCTGTTGTTACGGGGAATTAGAATTATTATGCTACGAGCAGTTTTTATTGTTTTTTTGCCAGATGCACATTGCTCAGTTGCTGCTGCCGAAAACAAAGGTCAGCCGAAAGAAGAAAAACGTAGAAAAAAATGTGTTTGCGGATAGGTCGTACAAGTACGGTGCGTCTGTACGCAGTACAGGTACTGATGGTCGTGCATAATTGTGCTATACATAATACATAACGTACATATATAGGGGGAAAAAAGTCTAGCCGAACCAGTCCCTTGCACTTCTGATGTAAGCCAGCTGGTGGTTTACGTTGTGGCTTGACAGTGTTCTATGTAGAGCGCTGCTTTTAAGGCTGTGCGGGCGGCATTGACGGTACATGTGGTTTTAGCTGCACCAGGCTGTAATACAGTTTTAGCCTGCTTACCTGCAGGTTGTACGAGTGCTGCTTACCTGTTATCAGTACGTGCAAGCTAAAGAAGAAGGTCTGTATTGTAAGCGTACATTTTACGGAAAAGGCTACTCGTATGGTCGTTTAAGTGAAACACTACCCGTACGGTCGTTCGGTTGGCCACCTATGGCAAGTGAATGGGCGATGATCGTTTAAGTGAAACACCCGAAATAACATTTTCCACAAACCGATTTTCTTACGGATTTTTTCCTCTTCCAATTACACAGGATGTACCCTTTACAGAGGACTTGAAAATTTTAAAAATGCTTGAACCGTTTTCTTTACAAATGAGACGTAAAGAAATCAGTGACGACAGCGCTTTAGCCGCGCCACGAGTGCCACTGCACTACGCTCAAATATTTGCAATCACCGCCATCCATGGGGGGCTGTTAATTCAGTTTAAGCAAATTTAAGTTCAGTTGAATTTTTTTCTTCGTTTGTTTGAAGTTGGTGTCTTCAAACTGTATTTGGTCTATTTAGACCAAAACTAATAGTTTTGATCTAAATAGACATCTTACACCGCGATGGGACTGCCACCCATGGATGGCGGTTACTGCAAATATTTGAGCATAGTGCAGTGGCACTCGTGGCGTGGCTAAAGCGCTTTCGTCACTGATTTCTTTACGTCTCATTTGAAAGAAAACGGTTCAAGCATTTTTAAAAATTTCAAGTACTCTGTAAAGGGTACATCCTGTGTAATCGGAAGAGGAAAAAATCCGTAAGAAAATCGGTCGAAAATGTTATTTCGGGTGTTTCACTTAAACGACCATCGCTCATTCACTTACCATAGTGTTTCACTTAAACGACCATACGAGTAGTTTAACAAGTATTAATGCTGACAACCGCGTAACAATTGTTGCGGGTAGATAGTAAATTAATTAATTGAATTAAGTTACGTTCGTTGACCTTAAGTTACAAAATAGTTCAACATTCTGTATAAAGCGGTTGCAAACATCGAAAGTCCTAAGTTGTATATTTTCGACCGATTGCGTCTTCGGTTCGCACAATGTTGGAAACAAAATAAAAGAAAGATGGTGTGTTTGCGGACCACATTACCTAATACTGAATTGGTTCATTGGGAAGAGCGGCATCATGTTTGCAAACCGCCTTATACAAAACGCTGAATTATTTACTCCGTTAACGCGAACCCTGGAATCCCTTAGGCGCATCGCAAAGCAAACTGTACCGCTGTCCCCCGATCCGTTCGTCGTAGCTCCATCTCGCGTCTCGAGCAACGTTTTCCGCAAATTAATTAATTAATTAGCCGATATATTTAATTCATCGGCCCCGGTGTTTGGTCTGTCAGGTGTTGCTGCGACGCGTCCGTTGTCGTTACCGAGCTTACGTTGACAGCACGCAATTCCCGCAACAGGATGCGAGCTGCACTTCGGTTTGTTTAGCTAGGAAGTTCTGCCTTTCTGCGCGGCTGTTGACAATGTGGCTCTTGTGTATTGTGGTGATACAATTATTACAGCAGTAGCCGGTTCGGCTGCTGTGTATTGTAGTGGATTGATTAATTTCGCTATCTGTCTGCTGTTAGTGACATTTATGACAATTTTCTTACCGCTGTCTAGCTGAATGACAAAATGTTTACCCGGCAATCTGTTGAAACGACAACTCGATGATCGACATGTACATGTCCAGTGTTTAACAACTAGTCGTCCATGTTGCTGGACGACTAGTTGCTGAACATTCTGAATTGATGGTATTCTGAATCCTGAATCTTGGTGATATTCTGAATTTCTGGCGGCTTAAGGAAACACAAGAAGAGCATGGAAAAAATAAGAAAGCATAAGAAAACATAAGAAGCCTAACAATAACATTAAATTAAAAAAAAAACCGAAAAGCATAGGAAACATAAGAAAAACGTAAGAAAACTACTACGAAAGCTACGAAAGTATAGCAATCTAAGAAACTTAAGAGAACCTATGGTCTAAGAAACACGAAACACGTATATTTGTACAACCAAAGAAAAAAGATAGCAAAAAACCAAAAACCGGGCTGATACGCAAGCTGTCGGCCAATGGATATAATACTTAGTAACTTCATCAAGATCGTCGAGCAGCAAAATTTGTAGAAAACCGAATGGTTGGTGAATGGTGAGCAATCTGTGGGTAGTCAGTGTCACGAGTACGACTGGTTGAAGTACATTTTGTATGGACAGTTATACTTTGATGTGGTTTGCAACGGAAGGAAGTGGCCAGAAAGTATCAGCCAATTAGTAAAGTGTTAAGTGTACTTTGATCTCTCATAAAACAATCAATAAAATGTTGTCTCATGGTTTGTCTATGAGTGTTTTAAGTTGAAGGCGTGTTCTGTCATCTTTCATATTTTGGATCAGAAATCGCTTCTGAGTGCTTGAGGAGAAGAACTCCTTGTGAATGAATTAATGTCATCTTGCATAGCTAGCAGCTCTGGAATATCTGGTCTTGGGAAGTGTTCTCTGGCATATCTTCTTGTCCTAGATGTTGTTGCACTGTTAGTCTGAATGAGTCTGTATAAAGGTCACCGTTAGCAGAACGATTGGGTTAGCGTCGTGCCTGAGTTAGCTGTTTAGTAAGGTCATTCACCACCATAAACCATCAGTAGCTTTACCCTATCTGACATGGAGGCATTTGGTGGTGAAAGTCATTCTATGTGTTTTTACGCGCGGTTGTGTGGTTTATCGAGTCGACTAAATGCAATAGTCATTGTTACCTGTCCGATTTCACCTGTGCGATTTTACCTGTGAACCCGGATCGCCTGCCTGTTACCGGTCTACAGTGGGATACCTTTGTGTTTGTTCTTGCGGATTGGATGCAGCTGGATGCCGGCGAGCACGGTGCCAACCGGGTGACGCGGGTGAATTCGCGGTTGAAGAACCACACGGATTTTGTAAGTGGCAGATCGATAGCCGTGTCTAGTGAAGCATGCTGTTTAATTTTGTTGCGATGAGTCATTTCTCCCTGCGTTAAAAAAATTGTTCCGTTTTGCACGATATTGCATGGAATGTGGTTACTACGTGACTTTTAATGGAACACCAGCGTGAATGGTATCGGTTAACTTTCGTTCTTGATACCGGGTTACGATTCAGTAAGATAGAAGTCAGCGTTAAAAGTAATGGGATACAGCAGTTGGTGCATTACGTAGGTAACATTTGTTCTTATGTCCCATGTGTACAAAGAGTCGAAGTTTTTAACCCAGACGGAAGTGTGGGAACGATATACCCATTGAGATAGAAAGAGGTACAAGGTCAACGAACAGTAATTATTATGCTAATCATAACTTTCGTTTAACTACAATAGCTGTGCTAGTCTGTGTAACCCGCCGACATACCATGCGTTTGTCAGCTGTTGTTTATCGGCTTGTACCGTAGATGTGATGAAACTCTTGTGGCCTCGTTGTTGCTTTCGTAACGTTCGCGGCCGGTATTTTATTGGGCGTGACCGGCAATATTATTTGCCGGTAACCTGATGTAGTTAACAGCATGCAAGTACACGTTTCAGCATTGTTGGGCAGCGTTTTGTTTAATGCATCAACTTTATAGTAAACAGTGTCAGTTACCGGCACTTGCTTATGTAAGTGATAACTTTTGTTGAGCAAAAAAAAAGCTGAGTTTCCTCTGTATTTCTGTTCACTGTGTAAGTCTGTACTGCCGTGTTCATCCTGGCTTGTGCACATGTACACGCGCGGCGCAATCTCGTAGCTGTTGTTGGTACATAAATACCGGTACAACGGGTACATACCTTTTGTTGTGTACTCTGTACATGTGATTTATTAACATGCACGGCAATGCCAATATACTCGTACCAGTTGTAATGATAATTTAGCTCTGCTTTAAGTAATAATTCTAATGATAATTGTAACTGTTAACCTTGAATTACAATGGCTAATAATAGCAATAAGCTATGCCTGCTACAAGAAGCACCTTACCGTTAACACATGTGAGTGAAAGGGAGCTTGTTGATAAAAGCGAAAAAGCCATAAAAGTAGAAGTAACAAAGTGAAGCCGATTACCAGTAAAGAGCCGGTTACAGGCGCGAGCAAGGTTACAACCAATGATCTGAATAGTACGGTTACTGGGAATAACAACGAGTTTCTTAATTCTCAGGATAACGATATTTTGCCGGTTACTGCAAACCTAGAGTTGTTTGAGGAGAGAAAATTTGTTGGTGCAGTTGTACAGAACAAAATGGATGCAGCTGCAGTAAACAAATTAGCTGATGCTTTAAATAAATTAAATCCTGCCAAAGTCGACCGGAAGGTTAACCTTGCAGATTTGCCGTCATTTTCTGGGCAAGACTCAGAATCGGCGGCAGATTTTCTGATAAAATTCAAACTTTTTGGTGAATATTTCGAATGGGATAATGAAAAGTTGAAAGAAATGTTTCCGATGCGGTTAAACAAAGACGCTTTAAAATGGTTTATTACGAATAAAACTAAGCTACCAGACTGGGATGAAACTGAGAAAGAGTTTCTTAAAGTGTTTGGCAAAAGTGCGTACGACCTTGATCTGCAATCACTAAGCTTTTCTAATAATCCATTACAAAATCCTCTGGGTTACGTTTTCGAGATTCTCGATTACCTTCGCATAACAAACCCTCTTGCAACAGAGCAGGAAAAAAGTACGCGTGATTTTGAGCACATGCCACCTGAACTGAAAGCAGCAGTTATCGAAGACAGACCAGATACTGTTGATAGGTTTGTTGAGAGGCTTAAAGACATTAAAAGAAAACAACAGTACTTGTCGGTTGTCGGTAAACATGATACATCGATAAAAAAACTAACGTGGCAATAAGTCCGAAATGTAATGAGAAAGTACGGTATACAAAGTAGCGCAGGTGTAAAACTAAAGAATAATAATAATTAATGATCGTCGATCAATTTTTTGCGTGTTAGTTCAAAGCCTTTAAAAATAAAAACTATGACAGTAAGGCAACAGGCGGACAGTATGGAGTATATTAGTTATAGCTGTGTGTTGAAAATAAAATTTTTCTTTGAGTGAATAAAGTTGTATTATTCATTTTAGCCATGGACAGTCAGGGCCCTGGTCTGTAAATGGTGCATTTTCAAAATATACAAACAAAATTGTGTATGATGATGATGTAAGAAATGAGATTTTTGTGAGGAATTTAGAGAGTTGATAGTGTTAAATTAATGATTTATTTTGCCGCCTGTTGTCTATAAATTTTTATCTGTCAGTAATGATTTTGCAGTCTAAACATCAGCTAATTCAGAATGTTGCTACAAATTTTTGAAAAACTGTGGTAAAATACCGTTACTTTCACTGAAACTAAGGTACAAGTAAGTTCCTGTTTAGTTATCCAATCGTTTTTAACTGGCCATGGGGGAAGCCCTAATAGTCGGTTACTTTAGTCATAGTTTATTGTATACCTGCTTTCAACAAATTGTATATTGGAAGGCTCCTAAAATTTGCAATTTGCCAAGCAAAGTGGAACAATTACTTGTATTTATTTAATCGGTGATTATTGTCAATAGAACTAGAATTTATTCACCTAAAAACAAATAAAAATGTCAAAATTTGTGATCTGTATAAATCTATGGTTAGAAATTAAAATTCACAGACAGCGCAATTGTACGACTAACCTTTTAATGATTTGTGTAACTGACTATAATACAGTGGTCTATTTCTCACTTTTCCAAACACGCGGAACTGTCTGTATGTTCCATGCATCCAAAACTGCGTGTAGGACGCACAAAATAAAAAAACAGGCTTGTGCGAATATATTACAGCGGCAGCAGTAAATGCGGTGCAATGCGCTCGTATGTTGTCAGATGTCTGCACTGACTCAGACGTTACGCATTGAAGCGTAACGCACTGAACCACCAAGTTGCCGGCATGTGACTAAAGTTCGATTACTCATGTTGCATTAATAAACCTTTCTGTTTCCTTGGTTTTAACGCGGGCGCATTATGCTTGGTTAAATGTTGGTTTCAAGTTACATCAACCACATTTTGGTTAAGATGGCATTTTCTTCTGTTTCATTTTGCGTTTTTTTTCAAAGTGAAAATTGCATCTTCGTTTGGTTTGCACCATGTGTTGTGTTGTCGCATGTATTCATGTTCAATACAGTGTACATTTCTGTTTTTCTTTGTCTGTTTTCTTTGAGTTGCAGGACTGCAGTTTTATTGGTTTCCGTTTCCCTAGTTTTGCATGCACGGCTATATCGATCGATTTTTCGTATGAGCGCCTTGTGCGGCCCGAAGCGCCAAGGTTGGGTGGAATGTTTTTGCAGTCACCGCAGATGAGAATGAGCCAGCAGATCAATGACCTGCAGCGAGGACAGCATAAGTAAAGAGCCCTGCTGTTCAATGTGAGATGCGTTCGTCGATAATGAACTGGATAAATCGCGACATGCCACGTGCAGTAAATATACTGGATGCAACACAATTATGCAGCTTTATCCGCTACTGAAGCGTGCTGTTCTGACCGTGAATGGACCGATAAGGGATGTTTTTGTCGAATAATTCAGCGCAGATTGGTCCAGCGTCTGCGGACACACTAACTTTTGCCAAAGCGGAATTCACCAAAGCCTAAGAAGGTGCGCGTGATCTTTGCAGTAGATGCAGTGTGGATGCGGAGTGGACAGCATGATGTGGATACGGAGTGACAGCTGATGCTGATTGCGAAGTGGGATTGGATTTGGTTAACGGGTTGGTCGAGAGCGCCCGTAGTATGGAAACGGGGTGGTCATTAGCGCCCATGTTGAAGTGCGTATATGTTTTGGGAGAGATATCAGGTTGGCTGTCGGCGCCTGGTATTTTGTGAATGCGCTGCGGCATATCATGTGTGCCGCGGAAGTTCTCTCATCAGTTATTGCTATCGCTTTTACACCTATGGATGGTCTGAGTCTGTACCGCTACCTGTTGTGGTACTACCTGACGTTATTTTTCGTGACCTTTCCTGATGTTAACTGTGGTGCCATCAATGGACATTTCCTGTCCTAATCTTATTTCAAATTTCAACATCGTATTATGTTCCTGACCTGACCACGTGCCACCACCTGTCAGCTGTATTACGCCAGGAGTTTTACCCGGGGCCTCCATGTAGCCAACGGTTCTCGTGGCTGTAAGTCAGCTGTCTTAAGTTTCGTCAGCAATGGATGTTCGGATGGATCCTGTGGACGTTCGTGCCGAGGACGTCACGGTCCAAAGAAGGAGCGTGTCACGAGTACGACTGGTTGAAGTACATTTTGTATGGACAGTTATACTTTGATGTGGTTTGCAACGGAAGGAAGTGGCCAGAAAGTATCAGCCAATTAGTAAAGTGTTAAGTGTACTTTGATCTCTCATAAAACAATCAATAAAATGTTGTCTCATGGTTTGTCTATGAGTGTTTTTAAGTTGAAGGCGTGTTCTGTCATCTTTCATATTTTGGATCAGAAATCGCTTCTGAGTGCTTGAGGGAGAAGAACTCCTTGTGAATGAATTAATGTCATCTTGCATAGCTAGCAGCTCTGGAATATCTGGTCTTGGGAAGTGTTCTCTGGCATATCTTCTTGTCCTAGATGTTGTTGCACTGTTAGTCTGAATGAGTCTGTATAAAGGTCACCGTTAGCAGAACGATTGGGTTAGCGTCGTGCCTGAGTTAGCTGTTTAGTAAAGGTCATTCACCACCATAAACCATCAGTAGCTTTACCCTATCTGACATCAGGTTGTTTTAAACAGCAATGTGTCGGTCAGCAAATTGTCAGCAAGTGTTTATTCCATTGCGATTACGCAACGTAACTCAAGGTCATCGCAACAATAGAATATTAGCAGTGTTGTTTTACTTGTAAAAGCAAATAGTAAACCTTACACATTCTGGTGAGCCGTTTTTGTGGTTTACTATTGAAATAAATAGTAAATAGACCGCGAAAAAGAAAAGTAAATGGTAAGTAAAAGTTAGAGAGCAGATGGACAGCGTCTAATTAATAACTTAATTAACATACTATATGCTCGCAACAAATGTTACCTGGCTAGTATTTTCCGTGAGATTCACGTTTGCAATACTGTACAGATTTTCTGCTTTAGCTTAGCTAAAGCAGAAAATCTGTATTGCAAATTTGTTTTGTTGCAATGTGTTAATGTTTTGTTGCAGCGCAGGTGCCATTGAGAACCGACCACTACTGTGCAGATACAAGCGCGAGCTACGTGGCAACAGGATGTGATATGCATCGCTTCAGTGGTGGAGGTCAATTACATTTGGGTAACCGTTGCGCGACGGGTAACGGTGGAACGCGTAAAAAATTACGAATGAGTCAGCAAAAAATGAAATGGCAAAAAAGAAGACGAGTAAGTTTACGTGCCAGGGTGGAAATTGACCATCCAAATGTAAAAAAGTTATCGTTTAATGCAGCTCCTCTGTGATTCAGAGTGGATCTTTTCTCGATATGAAAACAGTACATAATCTCATTGGAACTTAATTATGGATTACGAGTGTGCAACATAATATCATCTTTTGTTATTTTTCTGGTATGGCACCGACGAAAAAAACAGTGTAACTAAAAAATTTTCAGTCTGATCTTGAGGTGGCAGCAGAGCAGGCCTCTATTAGCCACCTTTGGTTTTATGGGTCCTCGCTTCTTCTTCTTCGCGGAGACGTCCTCTAACGAGATGTCGTAATGGCACAGCACGTGATAAAAAATAGGTGCAACCAACAGCACTTGTGTTCAGCAATGCGATCTCGATATGATGATGATAATTATACCCCAAATAAAATCGTAAACAATAATAAGCACAACAACTTCTAAAGAGAAATGATTTTGTGCGTCAAGCCAACAACTAAAATTTTTTCAGAACTTCAGAAATTTGCTGATCGGTGCGCGTAAGAAGTTTGGGTAATGGTTGCGCTTCGACGTCGAAGCGCAACGCTTACGCGGACAAGTAAGCCAAAAACCCATCCCAGATTTCGCGATTACCAATCAGAATGTTTGCTTGATTACGCGCAGTTACGTCACACTTTTTAGGCGTTTCCCCGTTACCCGACGCGCAACGGTTACCCAAATGTAATTGACCTCCACCAGTAATATTAATTCAATCGCTCATAATTTCAAAATTAATTATTATCACAATCGTCTATCGACGTACTCGCACCAGTAATTTTACGAACTGTACATGTCGATTTTGTCGAAGAAGGTAACATTACACAAAAAGAAAATCATTTTGATGAAAATAATAATATTCTAAACGAAGTATCAAAATTTCTGAGTGCTATAAACATGGCAGTTTATGTAATAATTTTTGTACTTACTACTTACTGGCACTGCTATATGTATACACATAATGTTGCATTTTAGAACGGCGTACTGCGGTTCATCTCAAACAGGAAGAGTAAACTAATACTATTTGACTAGTAGATACTAAGCAAGGAAAAAGTAAGTCCACTCCCAAACCCTTTTTTTTCTTGTTTTTTGTCAATCTGTAGTCAAATGATTTGTATACACAGGCCTGAAAACCGTTTGCGCGCGCAACATCCGGTTCGCGAGTTATGGCTGTAAGAAAATTCCCAAAAGTTTAAATGCATTCAGGTGTACCAAAAAGTCTCATTATGGACCGATCTCCTTTCAGATTTTGCACGTAAATGCACATAACCACGAAGAACGTTTTTACACCGATCCACTGTTCTAGCATGTTTTTCAAATTTTAAAATGAATTTCAAATATTTTTAAAATTCATTTTAAAATTTGGAAAAACTCGTGGGAGTCTGGATCGGTGTAAAACGATCTTCATGGCCATATGCATTTACATGCAAAATTTGAAGGAGATCGGTCCATAATGGGACTTTTGGTACACCTGAATGCATTTAAACTTTTGGGAATTGTCTTACAGCCATAACTCCCGAACCAGATGTTGCGCGCACAAACGGTTTTCGCACCAGTGTATACAAATCATCTGGCTACAGAATGCCATAAAACGAAACAAAAATGTGTTTGGGAGTGCGCGAGAATGAAAGTTTCCGTGGATGTACACGAATTTGGTACCATGTATCGGGCCACTTCCCTTATTGTTAACACTTTATGCCAAAGTTGTAATCATTCGTCCAGTTGATTCCCCAGTTCGTACAACGTGGAATCTGGCCGGTTTCCGCCGAGTGCAATGAACGATGTCCATGCTGGCATTCAATAATGCGTTCAAATCATTATAAATCTGAGTTCCAAAAGATTTGCCGTGGGACATGATACGATATATTCGTGAATGTCTTGGAGATTTTTTAAATTACTTAATTTAAAATTTTTTGACAGCTATAGCTTGAAGAAAAATGGCGGTAATCTAATTCTTCGGAGAATAATAACTCTTTATGCAAATGTGCGTCTTTAGGTTATATTTGGACAAGATAAGTTGATAACAAGGCTTCTCCTACATTTAAACGCGGGAAATTGCATTTCTCCCATAATTCTCCAACCGGATGTTGAGCGCGCAAACGGTTTTCACGCCAATGTATACAATCCATTTAGCAGTGGAAAAAAATGTCTGGGAATGCGCGAAGCGAATTCCCACCAATGGAAAGTGTTAAATCAACATAGTACGCCGCAGTCGCATTGTCAACAGCAGCGCGAAACGGAAGAGTTCGTTACCTAATCAAACACAGCCAAAGGTGAATGCTGGCATCGTGTTGCGGAAATCCCTGTTGTTGACATTAGCGAACGGCAGTGGCCACAGGCATCGCTACGCAGCACATGACACATCGACACCAGCGCGTCGATGCACTAGCGTCGCTTATTGAATTTGCGAAAAGAAACCATGCTCGGGAGAGGAAACTGCGGAGAAGATACAGGTGCGTAAAATTTGCACTGGGTTGCGCTCCATTGATTCCAGGGTTCGCTTCTACCGGGAAGATATTTTAACAGCCCGATTGACGCGGATACACGGTACTGTTTAACAGCAGTTTGATCCATTAAGGAGTGGCAGATCCGCGCAGCATCCAGAAAAACTGAAATATATTATGTTGTAGCATCCGTGTTGGTTCGCTGGAAATCTAATGGGTGCTTCTGACGTCAGTATGGAGAACCAGTGAAGGGATACAAATCGGCAGAGAAGTAAGCGGTCCCAGGGTACACGGCGCTCACTTGCTTTTCGTACTGTCCAACCGCACTTCATTTCTTGTAATTGTAATGTCAAGAATAAAGTGTGGTTGGACAGCACGAAATAGCTAGTTCAGCGTCCGGCTTCGAGCTGTCCGTTATAGACCTACGGCGACGAAACGGCGACGGTGGCCAGCACCCCGTGGCGGGTGACCTTCTTACGTTCCCCCTCGGTCGGTTGAATTTATTAGAAAACCGAAAGAATTTGTTAGAAGACCGAGGTTACCGAAATGCGGTATAAATACTATACCACGTACTCAACGAAATTCGTGCATACTGGAACGGTCATAAATAACAGAAGTTTAATCGCAGAAATGTAAAATTTACATAAATCACAGATTCCTAAAAATGGGCAGTGAAATGGGTGTCTGTAATAGCCGCAAACAAGGTGTTCTTATTGAACGGCCGAGTGATGGTAATGGCCTCCTTGGTTTAAGAGATTCTTACGTCGCAATTCCACAGAATTAGTGGTAAGCATTGCTGTGACCGTTTAGTCATTCGTTCAAACAATTCTCCATGCGCATTTGCTTAGGCAAGACAAGAAAAATTAATTAGTTTCACGATGCAGCTTCGCTAAAAGTTTTACTCGATACTGAGTAGCGACAATCAATACATTTATTTCGGCAATTCTAACTGCTTTTTCTATTAGACAAAGAATTTGTCCCAATTAATATGTGATGGGACTGTGCTACAGATAGCAGACAAACGCATGAGGGCAATAACTATGTACAGAGTAGTATAAAAAACAGTATAAAAAACTGACAAGTTTCGTACAGTACCACAACACCTGTACTGTACCAGTAAAAAAAACTGACAAGTTTCGTACAGTACCACAACACCTGTACTGTACCAGTATAAAAAACTGACAAGTTTCGTACAGTACCACAACACTGGCCTACGGCCACTGCTGCGGTCAGCGGTAACTGCTTCGGACCGGCACAAAGGAAATTTTGCACAAAATTCACAAACCTTATTTTATCATTAGTGACCCCGCGCGCTATTATTATTTTGTTGGGGTTTCGGATGGGTTTTATTTCGGGGAAACATTATCTCAAACGTGATGCAGGTGTACTAAAAAAAGGCCCTTTAGTTATGCCTTTATCTCGGTTGTGGTTCCAGAACGGGGAGGACCATGGTTGCTGGTAAAACACGGTACAGATAGATTCAACGACCTGTTTAACCTGTTTTGATATGAAGTCGTGGCATTTGTGAAAGGAGTGGTTTTCCCCTTTTTTGATGAACTGCGGTTTATGCCGAGTCGCTATCATAAGACACGAATGTGGAGAAAAAGGGAATGTGAAGGCCAACACGAGGCAATAAAACTGCATTTCAGCCGAAGTGCCGACAATAGAGGGCGGATTTATGTATTTACACATCTGGAAAGGAACTCTAAACTGATGGGCGGTACTGTCAGAGAGGCCCTGGTAAATCTGCATTCTCTTACCGAAAAATTACTGCACTGTACAGTATAATTATACTGGTTCAAACGTATGGATACGTGCCCAGGTTTCAACCGCAGTAAGGTTAGATCCTACTTGAGCCTACTTCATCAGCTATTGGCATAACAGATCCGTACAATGCTGCATTCGACAGTGCGTTTCTTTGGTTAGCGACATTTATGCATTACAAGGCATGGTAATCGGACGGGATCTTGTGTAAAGACAGGCCTTTTTAAACGAGCATGCCACGGTGTACTTCCTTAGTTACACCGCAAGAGATTGGTACCGATTTTGATCTACACCTATGTTTTTAATTGACCGACGATGAAAGTTTACCGTTAGGTGCGACATGAACCAACTACTACTTATATAATTTGGGCTATAGAGAACGTAGCATACTTCTACTGGTAATGTACGCGAAGCGTGAATTAAATTGTACGTACTGTATGCACGCCGTGGAACCAAAATTGATCTGTATCTGCATATTATGGCTGGATTCATAGAGATGCCTGATCTTAACCCGACGGGGACAGCCACCAGTGATCTTTCCTCATTTCCCCACGGCAGTAAAAGTGGCACGGATTCCTACTGATACATATAATCCAGAGTAGTACTTCGCAACACAGCTGCGCTTCATCTGATCTGCTTGTGGACTGGCGCACAAAGTGCCCTGATAAACTAATCAGATTAGAGATATTCCAAGATTATGTAGCATGCTGTAAGACAACGTGCTCACTTTGTGCCATCCGTACAGGCTAGCAGTTTAACGTAAAACACGCACCATCGATACCTCACTTGCACGGAGAAATTCGCCCGATCATGTCCAGCAGCGACATCCCCGTCGTCGATTTCGCTCCCTACCGCACCGGCACCAGCCAGGACGCTGTGGCGGATGCCATTATAACTGCGCTGCGGCAGCACACGTGTCTGTATCTAACAAACCACGGCGTCCCTCAACAGCAGGTAAACGCGACAATACAAGCAACACATTGGTTTAAACGAAGACCAGCGTTGTGTCGATGCTCCAGCTGGATGGCTTGATGCAGCAGTCCCGGCGTTTCTTTGAGCTGCCGGTGGACGTCAAGAACCAGTCAGCGCGGGCGCCGGGATACCAGCCCTCCCCGGGATATATCGGCCAGGGCGTGGAATCGTAAGTGTTCAGTAGTGTTTCTTCCAGAAACCTTCACGGATCGCCGTCCATTTGCAGAGTTAGTGAGGCCGTGGCGCCGGAAGTCCGGGAATGCTTTGATCTCATGCTGCAGTCTTCACCAGTAAGTAACACAATAGATTGGACTTCCTAGGCAGACACGTGCCTTTTACAGAACAATTACAAGACGATCGGATAATATCCAGGCTAATTTGGTTCACGACAGGGCGTTTTAACTTTATGTTCCTTATAATTCGGCGTATCTCAACGAACGGGTATTACTGCACAAACGGTTTTCACGCCGATGTAAGATCATCCAATTCACTTGGCTGGAGAAGGGCAGAATGCGATACGAAAAAAACGTTTCGAAGTGCGCGAAAGCGAAAGTTGTGGCGAATGAATTACGAGATAGCACCGTATACCATTTGCTCCTGTTTCAGGCTTTATTTTCAGCTGATGTCATGCGCCATTTGGGCAAATATAATATGATATTCATATACTCATACATGTACTTCGAATAGTGCCTTATATGGGCTCCCCTTATATTACTCTCCCTTATCTGGGCTCCCGGCTAGTTAGCAATACCCGTCCAATTATATTTATCGGATTTATAGCAGAACTCTTTTCCACTTTTTTTCAACCGGATTTAGCAGTGAGCACACCAAAGAATTCCGAAATTTCACATTCGAATTATATTTGTAACGGAGGGACGCTCCGCCCTCCTGAGTAGCTATTCGCTGTTTCTGGGGATTTCCACCCCGCACATTGCTGCGCAGTTTGGACGGATCTGCAGCACAGTTGCACTGGCTGCAGGATCCTTCCTTGTTAGTCTGGTGTTTGCTGCGCCACGGTGCGCATTAGATTCGGCAATAAAGCCTCATTCGGGTTCACCGCTGTTTCGCTGTCGAGGATACGCGTGGCGCCCATACGGCCCCGCGTTATATATTTATATTTATTATTTATATCTATTTTTCAAACGGATCGACTCAGACTCTTTACAGACTCAGACCCATATTGCTCGGGAGCCCAGATAAGGGAGAGTAATACAAGGGGAGCCCATATAAGGCAGTAATCGAAGTATACATATTAAGAATGCGGTCGGGAAATCGCCTTTGTTAATACATCATAATTACAATGTAGGACTAAATGGTCGCATAGCCCCATACCCAGCATTCTGTACGCAAGCGGTGCAGTGCACTTGTACGAAACGGATATTTTGAACTCAGTCGTACAGTGCACTGCGCTGCATTCGTACTGAATGTGGAGAGGACTTTATTTCTCAATATGTACAAACTACAAAGCGAGCTTCACTCAACAAATCAGATCAAATGAAGAATTTGTCCCAATTAACATGGGAAGAGACTGTGCACAATACACTCATAGCATTACCACGCACAATCTCCAAACTTAAACGCTGAAACAGAAAACAAGTAGAGCGACTCTCCCCCGTCCTTAGAAACAACTTTTTACCAATCTCCTTTAACGTAACAATGCCGGTCTCACACCAAGTGCCAAAAGTCTCGCATGCGAAGGGAACAAAATAACAGCGATCAGTAAGTGACTTGTATTTTCCTATCTTCTCCCGGCATGCAAGTTCAGCGGCGGCGCCAGCACACTTTGAGGTCGCGTCGATGTATGAATCAGCCATCGTTGTCTCTGCAAGTAACGTCCCAAACTAAAGGCTGTCCACGATACCATTTCCAGCGCGTGGCTCCATCCGGACGCTTTCCGTTTTCGCGCAAAAAGCCAACAGGCTCCGGGTACGACTCAATGCCGGCATTGCACAGCGCACGCAGTATGATGTCGTTAATGCCGTTATGTCGCTCTCTTCTCCCGACACACTTCTTACAAGCTAGTCCATGGTGTCCGTTTTCCGTTACATTCCCACATTCTTTCCCACATCTAACGCATGAATGGCGCTCCACAATCTTCGCACCAAGCCACAAGCCAACAGAAATGCGAAACGTCTGATCGTCCAGGAAGTTGCCGAACACTTTCGCGGGAAGAGCATTAAGCCAGGCCCCGGCGTATTTCGTGCTGACCGCTCTTAAGCGTGCTTCGTCTCTCTTATTGTTGTCAACACTATTCCACAACAAGTTAACATCCTTCTGTATAACTGCATTATCCCATACGCACTGGTGAACACGTGCCAGATCTAACGGTAACTCATCAGAGGCGGACTTTCGTTTCCAGGATTCACACGCATCGTTGACCAACTTGTCACTGCAGCCTTTGTAGATCATAGATGCTAACTGACGAGTGGAAAACATGGAAGCCAAAAAGGCCGAAGGAGCCAATGCTTTCGCTCGTCGCACACCCAGACCTCCTTTGGCAACAGGAAGCATGGCCTGCGTATACACAAGCCCATCCAATTTGGTATTGGTAATTTCTTCCAGGGCTTCTTTAATGTTGTTGTCAAATTCGTCTAGCAGGTCTGGCGCTTTCCAGCATGGGCTGCATCGTAACGTATACATGAGCTTCGGGATGGACAGACAGTTCCGCAACAGGTAGAAACCATGATGGGCGCTCAGCATTAATAAGCGTTCTGTAAAAATTTTTAGGGAAGCAATTTTCTGCCGCAGTGAATGCTTCACAGCCTCATCAGTTAAAGGAGCACCAAGAAACGTTACCGTTTCAGGCTGCAGTTCAATTGCACCCGGAGCAATTGAGTGCAGCCTGTTCCTGGCGTTTTCGCGTTCTTCAACAGTTCCCCCAATCAGCAGCATCTCACACTTTGCGGGCTTGAGCTCGAGTCCAACGGCGCTGCTGGCGGCGATGATTGATGTCAGATCTTCCGCTACTTCTTCCACCGTACCTCCTAAAGCACCGTCATCCAGGAAAAAGACACCCAATTTCGACGACAAATTGCAGCAAAATAGTAGCGTAGCGAGGCAGTATAACAGCGGTCCCAAAGGGTCACCCTGCTGGATCCCAGTGGCGGATGACAGATCGTCTTCACTTCCACTGCACGACAGAACAGAAGGAGCCCCATACGTGCTGGACACAAAAGGATAGTATTCCGGGAAGTGATCTAAAACAGACTGACACATAACGTCGCGACAAACAGTGTTAAAAGCATTTCGAAAATCAATTTTAAAAAGAACTCGCAGCCCATCTTGCTCGTCGTGAATAAAAGTCCTGGCAGCATGTACAGCAGCTTCTGCTCCACCTCGCGTACCACATCCAACTTGAACAGGGTTGAATAATTCATTAGCCCTTTTGCCGCACCGCTTTGCGATAATCTTAGCGGCCAGTCTTCGTAGCACATTACCCACAGCGATAGGACGAATGCCGCCATCCTTCTTAGATAAGGCAATCAGATTTGCGCCAAACAAAACAGGGCGCAGCTCTTCTGGTAATTTGCCCGCCACGATAAAATTCATTAATTTGCACAGTGCAGAACATAGCGGGGACTCAGCGGCATCTTTGCAATTCAGCATGTCTTTGATGTGCTGTGGACGTAAGCCATCCAAACCTCCGGCAGACCCGCTTGGAAAACTAAATACGGCATTGACGACTTCTGCTGCAGTGATGGGGGCGAATGTGGGTATATCATTTGCAGAGGGAGTTGGAAAACTTGTATCCGCAGGTGCGTCGGGATGTTTCGTGCGGAGGACCGATAAAACTCTGTCGTCAATTGTTAAAACGCTTTCCTCCGACGCTAATCGGGCGACCGCTTTATGCACAGAGCACTCATTAATGTACGAATCTACCATATGACGCAAACGCTCCGTATCGTTTGTCGCACGGCGGCCGCCGCGAGTGGTCGATGTAGCGGCCCCGCTGGGGGCGTATCTGACACCGCTTTCGAAATCTCGTAGCTGTCGTCGAAAGCGGCCAGTGAGAGATTCTTTCTTCTTCGATCCAACATCTCCTTCTGTCGCAAAGCACTGAGAAGCAAAGAGAAGCAAGGACGTCCAGTTTGCGACAGTGGGTTCTTTTACACATTGCTCAACAGCTCTAGCAAAGGTTTCGGCTGCTTGCGGACGGGCTGCTCTAGGGATTCCTTTGTTGATCCTACCCGAACTCCTTGCGTTTTTCAGAAGGGTAATGAGAGATTCTGCGGAGATGTTGGGTAGGCGACCATTTTGTCCTAAGCTGTATATCTGTACTTTTATGTACTGTACGGTATATATATATACATATATGTGATAATTATTTGTATGTGCACATAATACAATGTACATACGTTTTATGTTGTTTACTTATACGTACATGTATGTAAAAAATATAGTATTATGTACAACACATTATTTCAGTACATGTGCAAACATATCAAGTGCATGTAATGTACATGTTCACGTATCAATTTTTACCGTGTACATGCACATGTACACTGATGTCAAATGTTCTGTACATGTACACATTGTACAATAATTCAGCAAATGCATTTGTATACGTGTACGATTACACCCGTACAAAGTCTATACGTTAATTTTATTGTATCGTACGAGTAAAAATGTGCATATTGCAGCCGGCATCCAACGTGGAGGCCGTCCAATTAACTGACGCCATGCGGAACCTCAACCAATCCTTCCACAATTTAACCCTGGAGATGTTCGCCTGCATAAGTCGCGGTCTCCACCTGGACGCTGGCCAACGCGACAACATCTTCGCTGCCCACGCCCACATGGGCGACGTGAGCCGCAACAGCACCATGCTGCGCTCAGCGTGGTACCCGGCCATGCAGCCGACCGAGCTGGACAGTCACACGCGCATCTCCCCGCACACCGACTTCGGGACGATTTCCTTCATCTACCAGGACGACGCCGGCGGTCTGGAAGTTGACCCTAATCGGGGAAACTTTATCCCAGCGGCGCCGCTCCCGGGAGCGCTGCTGGTGATGGCGGCGGATGTGTTCCAGTACTGGACATCCGCAGAGATCAAAGCCACGGTAAATGCCGGTGTATACCGCTCACCGAAATTATTATTATTATTATTATTATTATAAGTACGGCTGTGTTATGGCGATGTAGAATCACCGTGTGGTGCCGAATCGGAATAATTATACGAGCCCGCGACAGAGCTTCGTCTTCTTCGTCGATCCCGACTACGAAGCACCCATTGTGCCGTTTGACTTAAGAGCAACCAGGAGTCCGTGAAGCTCGCCAAGGACATCGTCATCGAGCGCTACAAGACTGCTTTCCAACACTAAGAAAAATGTTATTTACCGCAGTATACGAGCAATAATATTTTATTAAATTCAGATACCTAATTCTAATAATGATATTAGTCAGATCCCAAAAATAAATAACAAAATTAGTTAAATTACGCACTGTTACCACTTTATACGTGCGTACAAGAGTAAAAAAAATTTTAAAACTGGCCAAAGTTTTTTAATCCAACGTAAAGGTTATGATTGTTATTTAGCCGGTAAATGTCGCGTTTGTTATCGGAATTAACGAGACTACAAAGTAAGATGGAAAAATGTGGAAAACGGCTAGTCGGCCCGCGGTTAAACTGAATAGTAAAATCAACAAAACAACGTACAACAGGGATACAACACCAGTGTGTATACATCGCCAGCAGTGGATTTGAACAGAGAAGCGCATACTTGCGCAGTATGTGTTAACACGAAGCATCTACGTTTTTCGAAATACACCTTTTTGTTATGCAAAACGTAATGCAGTAGATTTTCCACCGTAGAAATCTACTTGATGGCAATAATAACTGCACTTGTTTGAAAATTGACTAATTATTGTTGACATTTGCCGGGAATGGCCCCCCACAGCGGGAGCCGCTTATCAATCTAAGGTCACCGTTCATCTATAGACAGCAGACTAAAGAGATGTCCGGTGCGGATAAGCGCCGCGGTCTGCGTCGATAATCGGCATCCACTATCCATCTCCCGGAGCTGGCGTTTATCCCATTAACAGTCCGCGGCATCCTGCCATCCATTGGATCCGGGTGTGCGCGCTTATCGGCTGCCGCATCGCGATAGCCGATATCTTCATCATGATCATGCGTGCAACGTGATCCGCGCAGTCTCCCGGATATATGATGGAGCGATAGGCCGATTCATGATCTCTCACACACGCACGTGTGTACGCCGATTGATGGGCTCGTTAGGGATGCTGAATGCCGGCTAAGCAGACCACTGGAATGTGGTCAATACCGGGGCTGTTTTATAAGCGGATGCAGACGGATGTGGCCGATTTATATAAGCGCCCATTCTTGTGGCCGGCACACATGGCGGCCATTTGTGCGCGGCTTTTATTATGATGCCGGCATAATCCATAGACACACAAGCCCATATAGCATTTATATAATTTATTATATTTATTATTTGTTTATTTTTCAATATTTATAATAATTTGAATTTTAATATTATATGATTTATTTATTAATTTATATATAATATTCGATACTTAATTATATACAAATACACGTAAATTATTATTGCATAAGAAATTCCATATATAAGAATTTTCCAGGGTTCACTGTATATAATTCTATATATATGCAGTTATTATATTTTATTTATTTGTTTATAATTCAGTTTATAAAGTTTATAAGTTTATAATTTGTTTATAAATTCGGGCAATTAAGTTTTTCTAGCCTTTGCCAAATACAGTATTTTATTTATTTAGTTTCGGCTGATTTTTACTAAAATTCCGGATTCCGTTTCATGATAAAAAATAGTATCAACTTATGTAATATAAAAAACGTTAGTATAAAGAGCAATTTTATAAATCATGAATTATGATGCATTTTATTGGGAAAAAACATACCGTATTATTATTTTTCGAATGGTAGAAAATCGATAAGAAGTTGACGGTCATTCACCGTTTCTTCCAAATAATATCTCACCGGCGCGAATTCGCAGCGGTATTTCGTTTTTAAAATCTAAAAGCAGTAAAAGGCATCACGCGCGTGAGTAATCGTAAAAGGCCGGCAACAATGACGCCGGTGGCATTCACCGGTGCACCACGCGCTGTATCGTGATCCAGCCGGCTTTTTTCCTTTCTAAATCACGCACTTCCGCCGAAAGGCCATCTGCATCGCGATTGATGCGCGCAATGCATCGAGGGAGAAATTAGCGGAAATGCCGTGTTAATTGCTGGAGCATGTGGCCGGTGCATTATTGTGTGCTGGAGACGTGATGAAACGGGAAAATAATTGCTGTAATGAGCGGCCGATAAAAAGCGGATAAGCCGGTTATGCTGAAATGTCCGTGCATTAGCGCAGGCACTCACGTTTATGAAATTTCTATTTAATCTTCTGGAACGCCGGGAATAATTAAGCACTCGAAATTCGGCATCTGTTGGATAAATTCGCGTATGCAATGAGGCGTTGCAGTAAAACAAATGGCCACACTTTTTCACGACAATAATATTGCATTTATTGTCACTAAAGATAAATTTTGCACATTACAACAAATGTTTTCTTATTCTTTTTTCGAAATAATTTTTAAAGAATGTTCCACTTGTATAATTTTACTTAACAATAATTACACCAAAACAAATGAAAATTTTTTATCAAATAGTTGTGCGTATTTTCAGTTAAAAAACTCTAATTAAATTATTAAATTAAACGTACCTAATTCAAAACAGTTTTTTTTATAAAACGGTGACAGTTTTTTTGCTTGTTTATTGCAGATGCCGGACGTTATTAAAAATGGTCGGTTTTTAAGAAAAATTAAAAGCGCATTTGCAATACATTTTCTTCAAACAGTTTTTTATTATTGACTTTATTGTTTTATTTTACGATACCTTTTTATTTATTCAGTTTTTGTTATTGTTCTGATTTTTCTTTTTTTATTTTTAATTGCAGGAGCCATCAGATTGCATAGACATTTAACTACGTTATTGAAAGTGGTCAGTATTGACAATTAATAATATTACAAAATATTGACATGAGCTTGTCGGATGTAAAAATAGTCAGCGAGTTGAGCTTAAGCGATCAGCGATGATCGGAATCGGAATGTGGGATGCAGGAATGCGTTGAGCGGCGGCGCTGCGCGATTACGGTGCAGTGTCAACAACGCGTGGGTACACAGTGTGTAGAATGCCCCGGCATGCGGGACAGCACCGTGCCGTCATATGCATAATTGCCGTGGTATAAGGAGAATAATTCCCGGCACATACAGAGTATATATTATTATATATAGAACTGGACACAGCTCCGTCAAATCTCAATACACGGCGTCAATGCCACTAAACGCCGACCTATCGACCGCAGGTCAACAATTCCACGCAATCAACGTCAGACGCTGACCACAATACAACGATGGCCGGGTGGTGATAAAATAAGCCGGCCATTTCTCAATAAAATATTTATTCAGTAAATTACAATAATTTTTACTGTGCTCTAATTCTAATTATTTACTATCGAATCGGAATGGAAATTATTAAACGCTCGTGCAGTTTTTGTAAAATTCTTTTATTATGTAATTTTCCAGTTACTAATAATATTTAGTATGACCAATATTTTATCAAGGAATAATCGTTAGCTTAATTAATAAAGAACTAATCCGGAACTCACTATATTCAAATTTTTGTATAATAATGGTCTGTCGCCCTTAAATTTATTTTAATTCCCCAAAAATTAGTTGCTATGCGGCCCCCTAAATTTTTGCAAATTATGTATTTAATGATAATTTTTATTTATTTTGCCCTGTCATTTTTTAATATGGCCTTTAGTACAAGAAGAATTTTTTAACGTTAAAAAATTTAATTCGAGTAAATGCTATTTTAAGCGGCCGCGTAACCCATCCGTGCATCACTGCATCCAAGATGTTTGCGCTGACTCCTGCTTTGTTCACGGCTGGAGCTTAAAGATTGTCTATTATGTTTCTCATATTTTCACACAGTACAATTGACGGTGTATTAAGTGCAGTGTACGGTCCTAACCAACGATAAGGAAATTCAAGCTGTGTTTCTGCTCTTTTAATTGAACATAATACCTGTTCACTCCAGCGACAACGCCCTCATAATCAATAGCCTGCCAACGCTAAGCGATATCATAGCCGATTTATACTGACCAACTGGAAAATCCACAACACAGCAACCTGTCATTACCGGCCTATATGCTATATGTATAAGCAGTTTAAAGCCCCGTTGCTGCAAAAGAGCAATCGGATCCGTGGCATGTTGTCCGACATGTCCCGGAATTGCTCATTGTTGTCGCCGGCATGAAAGGCTGCTATTAGAATATTTTATTGGATTTATTGGAATGCTGAGAATTGATGGAATTTATTGGCCCGTTTATACAACGCATTTTTCCGGAAAAATCCGGGAAATATTTCTTTTGGTTGAATTTTATTTTATTAATACAGTTCCATATAAAAATTGTTTTTTGAGTTACTAAGAAAAAAAATTTTGTTAACGTGTTTTTGTTCCATTAATTTTTTTATTAATTTTTGTTAATTCTGTCGCCCCAAAATCTTATCAGTAAATAACAAGACTAATTCCTCAATAATTTTCTTATAACTCCTTTATAAAATTCTTACTTTTCCCAGAGAAATTTTTAAGCCGCTTTTTTTCGGCTTTTACCTAAAATTTTATTTTAGGTATTTAAGTATTTTCGAATTTATTAACTAAATTTATTGACTGATAAACTGAAAATAAAAATGCTATAAAAAGTAAATATTCCTGAAATATATGTTAATATTCAAATATGAGCCAAAATGGACAAAAATGCTCTGATGAGCAACGATGAAAGTTTGTCATAGCCAAAATGAATGAAAATGGCAAATTATGGTAGAATAATTCGGTAACACTTCTAATTTTTAATTTTTACGGAACAATTTTATCAGCGGAAATTTACATAACCGGTTTTCTCTAAAGTATGTCAAGCAGTCTGCACAGAAAATTCGTCTTAATCGCATTGGAATTTTTGCGTAAAATATGCGGGCAAAATAGAGCTACTCATTTTTTATAATCTATCAGCCGGCAGAAAAAAAGTAGGACAGTTGCCGCGCGAGTCAATCAGGATTGTGGTCGGTGGCGCGGGTAAATATTGTCGGTGGCGTTATGTATTAACACCGCTTACATTGCGGGCCCATCGTCAGTTTGTTTAAACGGACAAATTACTGGTAAATAGGCTTGATCGGATTTTTGGCGCATACAGAGAAAAACGCGCTAAATCGTTTAACGGGAAATTGTCGCGTAAGAAATTGCCAGTATATTAAGTGTGACTGGCATGTTGGGGCCATCAATCACATTTCCGGCCCGTGACAGTGATTACAGTTGCGCCCGGCATTAACACAGAGCTGACTTTTGTCCCAGTTATAGAAACCGCAAACAATTATGCCCAGAGTAGGCTAATTAATTTCTCTGACAAGTGGACAAGACTATTGTCCGGCGTCGAGTGTGCATAAATTAATCTGAAGATTTATTTGCACTGCGATGTCGAGCAAATGTCGCGCAATCAAACTCAAGAACCTTATTTCTGTTTTATTAATTTTTCTGGATTCCTGTATAAGCACAATTAAAACCGTATATTACTAAAAAAAGTTCAAATAAACGTGTTAACGTTTAACAGGATTTTTTCAAGCAAATTTTATATACGAAAATTAATTTTCTAATATTTTAATCACTTGTACAATTTTTTGCATGATTAAAAGATTTATTTCAATTTTTTCTACGCAGGTCAAACATATCAGAAATATCTAAAATCCAATTATTAATTATTTTGTTAGACATTTCAGTCATTTTATATTTATATTTTCATTCTTCTCCGATTGTATTGTGATGACCTTTATAATTATTTGCATAATTTTTAATGCAGGTTTCAAATACTAACATCACGGTAGAAATTTTTATTCCCATCAAAATATTTTATTTTGTTCTGCTGATTGGATAAATCCAAATTAGTTTTACAAACTGTAAATAATTTTGCATATTTTGTTGGGATGACCTTTTAATTTAATTCATTTTTTGTAGCAAGTTTTGTATGTCAAATTTAATTAATAATTTTTGACTGTGATGAGACTGATGACCTTTGCAATTTTCATCAGCGTAAAATGTTTTCGCCGTGCAACCGCAACTTTACTCGGCCGTGTTTGCTGATTGACCACGGCGCTTCCGGCGGGCCGATGAGATAATTTCCGCATGAGTATGCATAATCAAGGTTAACTGCATGTTTTCGCCTGCGCGTCCGTGCTGCAGGCCGCCTCCACACACACTCTCTTTCGCGCAAATGATTTAATGGCCCGCGATGAATCAAGCACTGCCGCGCAACACCTTTCCCCTGAACAATCAGCATCCGATGCAGAGAATATTTCTCGCGCCGCGATTCCAGTCCGTCTGGCATTCATTTTCCCACGTCGATTAGCGTGTGTGTGTGTGCTTTCTTCATAAATCCGCAGTCAGGCATAATTCGCTGAAGACAGAGAAGCATACAACGGCATTCACTGCGACGTCTTTTGTCTTTTAACGAGAATCTCGTGATCGTGCTCAACAGCCCACAGGCTGCCCGGCTTAATTAGACTGCGTCAGCCGCGATCATTAACCATCACACGGCGGTGTAATCCAACATTCCCGCTAATGGCCGGAGAAATTTGAGTGGAATAAGGCGGATAATCGGGCGGGAAAGAATTTCTCGCTAACGCATCAACAGAATTCCCTGTACAGAAGTCACGCTCAGCGCGGTGGCAACCGGGATGCACGCGATTGCGCGCAAATTAGAAGAGTAGACATACTAAAATACTGCGGAGACGCAGTTACTGGATTTCCATGTACGTCTTGGCGCGATTAATAAGGTGATAACAGGGATACGCTGCACTGCGCCCACTTTTAACGTCACATCCGTGTTCTTAATTGCCAGTGATTGTCAAATGTAAAGTGTATCCGCGCAATCGGCTATTTGCGTAGTATACTATATCCGCAATCGGCTATACTTGCATATCCTCTTGCGCAACGTCAACGGACATCAACTTGATTGTCCGCACTAATGACTGTCACATCCGATGGCACCGCGATGGCCTGTGCGCTGTCATTAGCCGTCATTTTGGCGGAGATTTCCTTTTTTTCCTACTGCAGTACGATAATTGCCTATCGCTGAGCAGCGACGCGGAACCGTTATGTTTCTTTTCTTTCAGCGGGTGTATTTTCGCCTGTTTGCTGCTGCTGGACAAGAGAAAAGCCCCGGTGTTTGTGCTACAAGTTAAAATAACACGGAAAGGTTTAGTCGTGGTAATATAATAGGGCATCAATACAGGTCTAAAGTACAATGTTCTTGCTGATCTCTCCGCTGGCTGTGTAAACAGGCCCCAGCCGAGCCAAACAGGATGGAATAACGCTTAGCCGGCCAAACGTGGACACGGAACCTGTTTGAATAGGCGATTTGAGTTGAGGGCTTTTGCGCTGATCTCTCGGCTGACAGCGATACGCAGAACAGAGAGAGAAGTATATCCACCAGACGCAGCACAGAGAGAAAAGCCTACAAAGCCGCAGAACAAGAGGCCAGAGAGAGAAATGCAAAAGGACACAGCGCAGAGAGAAAGGAACGTCTTTTCTTATAACGGTCTCTTTCTCTCTCTCGCTCTCTTTCATTTTCTCAGCTGGACGGCTATTTTCCAACCATCACTGACAAGAACGGGCCTAAGTGCTCGGCGAAGCAGGTTCTCATGGTACGGACGCGGCTAAAGTGGCCCTGCAAACGCAGCAATTATCCGGCGCAAATTACCCTCTTCTAAGTCCGTCAGACCCGGGCCACTTTCTCCGTGCAATTTCCACGCAACGGCACCGTCTTTATGCAATATTTTACCACGGAATTTCTGTATGTAAAAACGCGCAACAATTTTCTAAAAATAGTCCCAACTCTTGACAGAAATTCCACGCACTTTAACCGGTTTACGATCGGGGACGATGGTCAGTGTAATCGAATATGATAAAGTGCCGTCTTCTCCAGCCGGGGAAGAAGCCCCATGGTGCACCGCTCCGGTTACCGCGCTCTGTCATTTTCCCTTTCGTTCCTGCGCGACGTCTTAAATAATCGTCTTCAGCTGATCATCAGTGACGAGTCACGACGATTTGGAGATACGTGCAATTTGTCAAGTGGGAAAGCTTTTCTCCCACTATACTGCGTAGTGTGCGTGAGAAAAGCCTTGCAGGGCTGCGCATTTCGCCTCGAGTATGGCAATCATGCTCGTACACTCCAAATGTGCATAAATAAATAATTACCAACAATACCCGGCCCCACATTATTCAGCGCTGCACGTCGACAAACGTCACTTTCCCAGGCTTTTCTTTAACGTGTACTCGGCAAATTTAAAACGGTGGTCAGCTGAATAAATTACCGACATCATTGTCAAATATAAAATATTTTCTTACAGCACTAATATTATTATTGATTGTTTTCGCCTAACGATTTACGTGTTACACAATGCTAACAGAATGATTTCTCTGTAAATTAAATTTATTGATTTTCGGGTTCCCTCGGGAAACGCCCCATCAACCGAATTTACAGTAATCCGCAACACAATAATCCCGCATTACCGGCTTTAAAAATAGCAGGACGTCAAATTAAAAACACACAACATAATACCCGGATAAAAATTCCGTCGACATCAAAAGCCTGTGCCATGCATAAAACTACCGTATCACAGTAAATTGACGGGAACGTAAAATAAATTGAGAACTCACAGGTTGAGCAACAGAGGACAACATGGAGGAACACAACAAAAACACCAGCAGAATTATTTACGGTTTTTTCGCCAGTTTCTTCTGCTGGCGCCGCCGCAGAATCATATCATACAGCTGCTCCAGTACATCCTCCACACCCTCCCCGGTAATGGCGCAGCCCGGCAGGACTGCCCATTCCCGCGTCGCCCCCAACTCCTTCTTCAACCCGAACACCTCGCCGATGTCCGTATGCGAGGCGGCCGTCGGCAGGTCCTGTTTATTCGCCACCACGATAACGGGAACACTCCCGGTCATCCGCGCCATCTTGGCCAGTTCCAGCTTGGACTCGTCGAAGCGCTCGGCGTCGGCGCTGTCGATGATGTACAGGATGCCGTCGCATTTGCGGGTGTACGTCTTCCACAGGGCGCGGAGTTTCTCCTGGCCCGGGACGTCGAATAAGCAGAAGGATTTCCCTTTGCAGCTCCCGGTCTTCCCGCGGACCTTCTCCCAATTAAACCCGACGGTTTTGACTGTATTCACGTACGAGTCGAATTTCAGCCGGTATAACAGGCAGGTTTTCCCGGCGTTGTCCAGGCCCAGAATGGCCACCTGGTTGCTGGGTTGTATTAACGGTGAATTGCCCATTTGCAGTAAAAAATCCCACATTACCACTGCATCGCATAAAACTCGGGATTATTCGATTTAATCCACGGCACAATAAAATAATAAATTGACACGGATGCGGTACAATATAATTCCAGTTAATCCGCGATGTTGCGTTACTCAGGCCAGGCAAAACAATCAAACATCCAACAATTCGCTGGCTGTCACGTAATCGTGTGTGTCAGGCTGCAAAAAGATTGCGCTAGTGCGGTTGCGAGAGCGAGCGAAAATATTATATTAGAGAGCTGCCATGAGAAATGCAGTGCCGGTTGTTGATGCATTGCATTTCGGTGTGGAGAGAGAGAAAGAGAGAACAAGTGCGGAGATCAGTGCGCGGCGCAGTGGGCGTCAAGTGTCCTTCATTGGACAAAGTGCCAACTAGTGGGGCGGACCGCACCGGATGCGCTGTAGTGCACTGTAGTGCGCTCTAACCTTCTTTTCCGCATCGAACGCTGGCGGGGCGGAGTCTCGACCCACTCCAACGCTGTACGTACGGGATTACCGAACTGAACAATCGTTCGCTCTATTTTTAAAGAAATTCTGAAGTTTGTTATTTTATGCGGTTTGATCTGTCAGGCTTAATTTGCAGTCGGTAAAAATCCGTATTTATATTGCCACTAGAAATTTTCTCAGCTCCCGATCACTTCGGTTATATAGCGTAATTTTAAAAAAATAATCACGGATTCAGTTTCTTGAAGGTACAACAATTTTAAAAATCATATTTTTTTTCTATAGTCCTCACTTTGCATTTGACTTTTACACGTAAGTAAATGTGTCAGTGATGACAGTCAATCGTAACTCAGCTCGTAAGTACTATCTCACACAAAAAACTAAATCTTTCTGCTCCTTAAAAACTGAGACAGCTGCAATATGCACGTTTAATATTGGAAACGCGATTAGCATTTCTTCTTCTACTTTACTTACTACATGCGTAGTAACAGAGTGTCAGAATAGTATTTTAAATTACATTTTTAGGATGTGTAAAATTTACATAAAATGTCCACGAAAATATTTATGTAGAAACAGCTATTTTTGTACGCACAGCGTCTGGAAATGGAATAAACTATACAGTTGCTCAAAAAGTCAAAATATAGAAAAAGCCGAGAAGTTTTGATTTTTCGCTTCTGCATCTGTTTAAACATCACAAGATGGCACGCAAAACCGCGACTTACGAGAAAGGAAAATTTTAAAAAGAAAGTTAACGGTCGTTTAAAAGTACTGAAGTGCAAAAACTTAATGTCGTGTTTTTGCCGTTTACGTTAATCGACCGGCAGCAAAAACGATACTTTATCTCCGCACTCATCAGACACTTATAATTTGCCTAGAGAAACACATTTTGCGCGGTGAAGCGTGAAGTAAAAGCTATACAGCAATTAACGGGGCGATTCTTTGACCAGTTGCACTCTGTTTGCGAATCAATAATCCGCTATACAGCATAAACTATAAAGCGGCGATAAATGTTAATAATATGTCAGGCGCTCTTTGTCGGCAGTTGACTTGGGTGTCAGTAGGACAGCGACGTCGTAAATAATCCTAATCAGTCGTAAAAAACTGACGGCACTAATAATAGGATTTGATTAAACGTCGCCAAAGTGTTTTTATTACGGAAGCGGCGCTGTGCGGACAATGTTACGCAGACGCCGTAATAAAGCAGCGCGCCAAAATATATCCCTTTAATACTGTGTGGACAGTGAGCTGTATAGAGCGGTCAGTGACTGACGCGGAGAGTCAGAGCGGCGGCTAAATCGGATATCTCTGTCTGTCTGTCGCTGTCTTTCTGTGACTCTCTCTGCTCTCCTGTACGGCGTTTTTCGCTTTCTCTGCCGGTGTGTAATGTAATGAGCGGATTATTAATGACTGTCAAGCTGAAGCCAACAAACAAACACTGTATATAATTCTCCATACGCCGGTAATAAATCTCTTGTCGCGCTTTTATTACTGTACACCGCAGCTTTGTTTTTACAGCTAACATAATAGACAAGCGGGCAGTTGAACGCCAAAAGAGATCCATTTCGCGCCGCGACATGGATCGAATTTCGCTGGCGAATGTATAATTAATCTCTGCGTACCGAGCATGTCATGATCGTGGCGCCGATGCAAATACCGAAGCATGCAAATTTATTATATCTTCTCTTTCACTTTATTAAAACAATCTTGTGTTTTCTTATGTTTTCTTATGCATTCTTATACTGCGAACAGTAGCGTATCGTTGAATAGGCACGAAATCGGAAGCGCGCGAGAGACTCTTCAACAAGTGTGCGGCCCGATTCAGACGCCGTCAAGCGCGACGTTTTTCTCAAGATCCGTGCAAGCACAGCGCTTTTCACCAAGTGTGTGCGCCAGCGCGTACTCAAGAGTTAGCGTCGTGTTTTTTTCTTTATTGTACAAGAAACTGTCAAGAGGTGATTTGGATTTCGTCAAGTGGCCAACAAGGTTCATTTGAGCGCATGCTCCATTTGCCTTTAATGAGCCACTGATTACGCGTTTCGTGCAGAATTTTACACAGAAAAACACAGTCATCTCATCATGAAGCAGGTTGCAAAAAAACGCACTTGAACTATTTATCTACAAAGCTGTATGGTCGGTAAACATATTTATTATAACCAAGCTTGCGGTATTTATTTTTCTAACTGTGCTTGGAAAATAATATGTAATTTTGTCTTTAAATTATTATTAATTTTTCGTTTGCACTTGCAGATCATACTTCGCAAATTTCATTAACGCTTAGAAAAAAAGATGGCCTAAAAATTTAGAATTCGGGTTCAGTATCGTTTAGAGGAATTAATTTCGGTGTTTCCAGGTGGCGAGACATTTTCCAGGTGAAATAAGAAAACATAAGAGAATATAAGAAAACATCCAACCGTTGTGCCGGCAACGTATAGCGCAATATCCGTACAATCCAGATTTCTTCTACATCGCGCTTTTATTATTAATTGTGTCGATTATTTATTGTGCGTGGGCAGTGTAGCCAGCACGAAATCCGTGCTGCCTGAATTGCCGCGGCATTGTTGGATCATGTAGGTAAATATTTGTGAGTGCAGCGTTGCAGTGCGTAGACGGGCTTTTGCCGTTGTAGAGTGCGCCTATTGTGACGATTATACCGGTAGTGTAGTGCGACAACAAGGTGAACATGCCTGGCTAGCTACGCAGATGGGACAACGCCCGTCCTCATCCATCTTTGCATACTGTATCACTTTCAAGTTACTTTTTAATTTAACTAGTTTCAAGTTCGGTTTGCGCAGAGCAATACGATTGAATTATGCAACTTCCGCACTTAAAATGTTTTCAGTATTCCAACGTTTCTCGCATTCCAGACATTATCACTAAATGAATTCGCGTACCGGACACCAGCGACACGGTGTTCCCCGCATTATTCCACATGACAGACACTTCAAAAGTTGATTATGCGATAATTATTTATAGTTTTTATGCAAGCACACGTTGTTAACATAACAAAATCCAATGGAATTAATACCGTGTCTCTGGTGTCCGGTACGCGAATCCATATTGTGAAAGTGACCGATATGCGGAAAACTTCAAAGTAGTAATACAATGCTTAAGCACTGTATCTTCTACGTACAAATATTTGCATAATGTCGATACGAATAAAAAAAATAACAAAAATTCATTTCTCTCAAAATTGGGCTGAAATAGTTATCATCCATTATACGCGATCAGTGCAAAGGTCAACCGCAACCGGCAACATCATAGCCCTTTTAACAGTGACCCGTTTCTTTATAGGAATAACATCGGCGTGGAGACCTTTTGAAGAAGCTACCAGCATCCGCGTTTCCGTGACAGTATGTCACCGGCTGAGTCTTCGTTGAGCTAAACGACGTTTTGTGCGTGGGTCGTCCAGGACACAATTCGATGGATGTACGGAAAGCAGCGGTGATCTATGCAGGTTCCACCGACTGGTGCGAACGGTTACAGCGAAGCACGGTGACAGCGCACGAACAATTAGACAAACTTCTGCCAAGTTGTTGCCGCAAAATCTTTAGGCGTTGCTTCTTTTAGCGTTTGTCCAGGCGAAGAGGACCTGTATCGCGTATGTACCAGGTACGACGGACATCTTAGGGAATTTTTAGATTTACATGGTTTAGTATCGAAGATGCCGGTTTACACAAAACCGGCATCTTCACCCCTAAATAGCGGATATAACACCCCTTAATAGCGTTAATCACTCCATTTCAATTACGCCGCAATTTTAAAACAATTAACACTGTTAATTTAAACCGGTAACTTAAAAAAATTCGGCAGCGAGAAATCCTGCTCTGTTAGGCTGCACTTGAGTATTCATAAATGACTAAACGCAAACTAGGCAAGTTCTATTGTATGTAAATGTCGTAAAAGTAGATCCTGGAAGCTGTGTAATTCTGCAGGTTAATAGAAAAACGGCCCGGTACAGCGCGTCAAAAACGGGATATGTGCAAAAGCTTTCGCGGACTCTGAATCACCTTTCTGAAATACTTCAGATATTTTAAAGCTGAATAAACTGCACACAATGTCCTGAGAATCGTTTGGGCGAGCAACATCCGGTTGCCGTGATATGGCGAATTAATACAGCATAGGAGAAAAGTTTAAATGGTTTGTTGTGTACCAAAAGTCTGGTTATTACTCGATCTTCTTGAAGCTTTGCTGTAAAAGACAATGACCATACAGTCGAAAGTGAATCAATTTCAGGTTCATATAATTTTCTTATAAATTTAAAATGAATTTTAAAACTTCTGAAATTCATTTTAAAATCGGAAAAAATGCCATGGATCTGATACTGGTTCACTTTCGACTTTATAACCATGTGTCATTTATAGCAAAGCCTTCTTTTTTGGTACACAATAATGCATGTAATCTTTTTGCCCACTCAAGGATGTCATATCCCGGCAACCGGATGTTGCGCACGCAATTGGTTTTCAGAAATCATTTAGCTTTAGAATGATATAAAGTTTTTTTTTTTTTTTTTTTTTTTTTTTTATTTTTTTTTACACCAGCTCGTTTTAAGCCATCTGGGAAACCATCTTTTAAGCCATCTTTTTTGTCTGGGAAACCTGCTGGAAGACACCGCTTTTTCGCCGCACCAATTGTAACACCGCACACGTGCGTCTGTGGCTCAGAGGTTGACGAGTTGGGCAGACACGGTCTTCGCTGTAAACGCTCCGCCGGACGCCTCCCCAGACGGACTCAGCGCCGAATTCGCTCGAGGGCTGAAAACGGCTGGGTTTCCCTCCAGAACGGAACCAAAAGGTCTATCGAAGGCTGACAGAAAACGCCCGGACGTAGTGACGTTAATCCCATGGGATCATGGAAAGCCACTCGCGATCGATGTTACATGCGTAGACACGTTAGCCGCAACATACATCGACCGCACCGCTGTTACAGCTGGAGCCGCTGCCGAAATTGCCGAGAACGCTAAGCGACTCAAGCACGCTTGGCTATCTCCGCGATACAACTTTGCTGCTGCAGCGTTCGAAATATACGGCCCACAGGGTGAAGGCGCGAAAAGCCTAGTGGACCGTGTAGGGCGTGGGATCGCTCAGGCTACCGGCCAACCACGTTCCAAAGAGTTTTTCCGACAGCGACTGTCCATACAGATTCAAAGAGGAAACGCGCTTTGCGTTATGGGCACCTTACCGGACACCGACGGCTTATCTGAAGTGTTTTTGTTGTAGTTTTGCTGTTGTGTTTTCGTTGTGATTGCAATGCAACGGTTTAAGTTAACATTTAGTTTCAAAGGAACATTAATTTGTGCGTATGGCTGATATAAAGTATTACAAAAACGTGTTTCGGAGCCCGCGAAAGCCAAAGTATTAGTGTATGAATCAGATTTTTGACTCCATGTACCGGGCCATTTCCTTCAAAAGGGACGCGCGTGCAACGCAAGGGCACGGCTGCTAATAACGTTGGAGTTGTCACCAGTCGCAAGTAATTCGAAGAGTACAGACAGGTCTGCCCGGGAACCTAAATCGAGTGACCAGGCATGTGGCATGCGGATCTCGGAAGTATACTTGATCAGCGTGTCCGTCAACATGTTGTTCTCCCTGAGAATGCCGGGTGTATGGTGTTATAACTGAATACGGCCAGGGTATTTCCGGTTAAGGGCATTAACGAAGTGCACGTGGATTATATGCCTGGCAGAATTGTGATACGAAAAGACCGAGTGAAGGCGCATCACCAGATGCGGTGTCACCAGCTGCATATGACGCATTCCCCTCTTGCACAAGGTGAGAGCAATTTGCAGCGATAATTGCGGTATGTTTGGATTTACAAGACATCTCTCTCACTGCGCTGTCCATTGCAGATGTCGTGTTTTCCGGAGATCCATTATATAAGATCCGCGGAAACGTACTTCTTAGGTATCGGTGCGATTTCCCCTGTGCGGGAGAATCTGTGCGATATCTTGACTAATTTGCTTATCCATTTCCGCTCTATTTAAGATCATATGTGCGCATTAGTGTCAGGTGCGGGAATTGTTTCGAAGAACAGGGTTGCAAAGCCGAATGGGTGTCCTACATATTATAAGGCACATACGCGCTTGAAATTATATCCTGCCTCAATGTCTCAGTTTTATGATAGTGCTCATGTGGTCATGAAGCAAACGCGGTGAACGAAATTTAAAAAAAAACATCTCATGCCTTTTTTTTACAAACCGCGCAATAATATCGAAAAGGACGCCCAATGGCATATTTCTTGATCATGATTTTGTATAATCTGCCCAATTACGTCGCGGGGCATAACAGCAGTGTGACGATAATCAACTGCGCCATCATCCTGCCGCAGTCCAACACCCGTTGGCTACCCTTTGAGTACGACAAACTAGCGCCGGCGTTCAATCTGGCTTTCGCCAAAGCGGAAAAGATATATAATGTGCGGTTTAAGCCGTATGTCGGATTGTATGCGAATTACTGTAACGATAGTCAGGCGCTGGGTCAAGCCGTCACAGCCCTGCAGCACCATCCCGTCCAGGTTTTTTTCGGACCGGCATGTCACGATGAACTAACGGCGGTTAGTAAGCTGGGGACGTTTTACAATATTACCGTGATGTCAGGCGGCGGCAGCTTTGCGGGATCGCTCTCGGCTTATCCATATACACCCCGCCTCGCGTATAATATGATTGACCAGTGGTCACTGTTTCTCTTAATGTGCGCGCAGTTCAAGTGGAAAAACGTGGCGGTAGTATACGATGATGATCGGGAAAGTGCAACTGCTGGTATCGTCCAGAAAAACGCAGAAGGTGCGTCGTAAAATAATTCTACCTTATTTCGGAAAAAAACCAATATAATAATTATATTGCTTTGCATATTATGCAAAAGCAGATAATATTATAATATTACAGATCTGCACTACAGCATGCTGTACGTGCAATAATTATAGGAGAATACTAGTCATCAACGAGTAAAAGTAACTACGTGGGTTGGTATTTTATTGGTCTTTGACTTTTCTCCTTAATATAGGGGGAAAAATGAGTCTAGCCGAACCAGTCCCTTGTACTTCTGAGGCAAGCCAGCTGGTGGTTTACGTTGTGGCTTCAGTGTTTTATGTAAAGCGCTGCTACAAAGGACATTCCAAAAGTTTCTTTCCCTATTTTGCCTGCGTGCCATTTCAAGTGATATGCGAACGATATATTTTTTATTATGTAACATGTTGTCTGAGTTATCGAAGAAAAGAAAACTTTGAACTGTCGATGAAGAACTGCCCAGGTGAAAAATCATTTAGCCGGTGGTACTTCTGGCAGCCTAACCACGTCCTTCCAAAACTTTAGCTGTAATGTTGTCACTTCTCTCCTTCTCGATGGTTTTGAATAAAATTTATAATAGTGAAGGCTTATTATGTACTTGTTATTATCATGATCATGAATCGTTTCCAAACTTTCACAAATTAAAATAATAAAATTGTTTCTACAGACATCCGTTTTTTTTGGTTTTCCGCTTTCCTGCTATTCCAAACTTCCAATTCTTTTCCACAATAAAAACTGTATCCTTGACCCACCCCAGCACATACTGGATATGATTCAGTTTATCGCTAGCCTGTTTGCAACAAATTGTTTTCCGGATTTTTTAATATTTTTGCCGTCTGGAAACTGGCAAGCCTCATGTTTTGACAACTGGTCACTAACACTTCCGATTTTCTTCTAAAAGCAGAAAGGGCCGAATCTTTTTGATCTTAATTTACACTGTAAGAGGGAAGACTTCTGAACATAAAAACGTTTTGTGCTTCTTGAAGTTCGAACGGGGAGAATGTTAAAAATGTTAAAATTTTGCGAGGAACCCGGAAGATAGGCTGCCAGACACCGCTGAAAGTCTTTTTGGCGAATTTTCCCCTTCCTCTTTGAACAGGACCTAGTTTAAATTTTTTAATAATTAGTTAGTAACTGGCATTAGTAAAAATATGGGTGAAAAGGGCTAAGTGAGTTTGTGGGGGTAGATAAAAAATAGGGAAAGAAACTTTTGGAATCGCCTTTGTATTAAGGCTGTGCGGCACTGACGCGGTACATGTGGTTTGAGCTGCACCGGGCTATAATACAGTTTTTATAGCCTGCTTACCTGCAGTTGTACGAATGCTGCTTACCTGTTATTAGTATCTGTACTCGTAATCTTAATAGCGGCGCTGTATATAAAACGCTGTCTAGCCACAACGTAAACCACCAGCTGGCTTGCCTCAGAAGTACAAGGGACTGGTTCGGCTAGACTTATTTTCCCCCCTATATACCTATTATGGTACCGACTATTTGTAAGTAATATCTGATGCTGCTAACAAAAATTACGGGCGATAACCAATTCTTATTTGCTGCAGTTGTGAATACTGTCTGGTTACAATTTCAGGTTTGCTGCGTTTGCTCAAGGGCAAAAATCTCAAGCCTACCGAGATTATTTATTCATTTCCCAGAGGTTTCAACGTCTCAGTCGATCCGTCACAGCTTGATGGGATACTGCGTGAAGGCAGTAAAAATGCTCGAGGTATGCAGGATATCATATCAGGCGTACAAGTAGGTCCGGATGATGAATACGCATAAATACAGCGAAATATATAAATTCACGTGCCACGCCCGTACCCGGACATTTGGGAGTGTGACATTTCGCCGCAATTAAATTCGACCCGCGACATTTCGCCGTGGGACATTCTGACGCTGAGACACGTCGGTTTGGGACAATCTACACTCTACAGTGAGACATTTGAATATTACGATGTTTTGACGCAGGACGTCTGGTTGCGGAAACTTCGCCGCAGAAGAATTCGGCGAGCTTAATATCCGCCGGTTTTCCGGGTTTCTTGGAAGTTTCCTTAGGTTTTCTTAGGTTTCATAGGTTTGTTGGGCTTCTTATGTTATTTTCGGGTTATTCTTAGGTTTCTTAGATTTCATAAGTTTGTTGGGCTTCTTATGTTATTTTTGGGTTATCCTTAGGTTTCTTAGATTTCACAGGTTTGTTGGGCTTCTTATGTTATTTTTGGGTTATTCTTAGGTTTCTTAGGTTTCGTAGGTTTCTTATTTTTCTTAGGTTTCTTAGGTTTCGTGGCAAAATGTTTCGGCGTTCAAAACGGCCAGGCGACGAAATGTCTCGCGGCGAGATGACCTTGCGGCGAAATGTATGCGACCGAAAGTCTTGCGACCAATTGTCCTCGGTGATATGTCGCGGTGCCGTTACGCGAGACTCCATACTACGGCGCGCCACGATGCTTGTTCTAATTACGAACCATGTGTTTGGCTGGCTGGTGGCTTGGTTCACCCCATATAAATTAAAGAGAATATCAATAACTTTCTGGCGGACGGTGGATAGAACTGTCGGTGCGATAAGGGGCAACCTAACTGCGGAGCGCACTTGAGCATTGTGGTAAAGAATCTTTAGTTGCCACTACATATTTTTAGTGGTCAACATCGCGCTCTGTGTGCTTATTTATGGTTAGCTGTACCTTTACGTGTTCAGTATCCCGTCCGGCTTGTACGTACACTAAATCATTACGTGTTCGAATCATTTTTCACGTGCTGACTGTATACTGATAAAATTTTGCTTTTCGTGAACAGTCAGTCAATCGGATGTTAAAAATACGGGGTAAACATCTCGTACAATTTAAAAGTCCGTTGCAATGCACTTGCAGTGATGGTTCTCATGACCGACTTCCTCAAGCTCCGCTATTACATGATTCAAGCTAGACGCCAGGGTATGTGCAACGGGGATTATGCTTTCTTCGCCGCCGATCTTCTCAGGAATAATATTCTAAAGACCAATAAGTCATGGATTATGAACGATACCTACGATGCCGAAGCCGAAGCGGCATTCCAGTGTCTATTTGTTATCGCTCTACGGGATTCCCGAAAAGATGTTTCGCACCTAATATTCCGGCAAGAGATATCCAAGTACAGCAACGAAAAACCATACGGATTCGCTGATATTGGCGTGGATTATATCCTTTTCTTCCGTATTTATAATATTTATATCAGGACTATAATTCCAGGGACACCCATAGGGCTTAGCATTTTGTGATGCTTGTTCAAACCAGGAATCTTTGAAACTAATGTGCTAACCAGGGCACATTTTCCGGGTCCAAATTCAGAAAAATCTGATCTTTGGCAGAAACATAGTATACCATCGTAGTATATTTAAAAAAATAATTTTAGCTGCTGACACTCAAAGGGCGTGGCCAAACAAAATTAATAATTAAGTAACAGCACATACTGTTGCACTGCACTAGTGTAGTACTCTAACAGCTGTTTCTCATCTTTTGCCGTGTACGACTATAGCACGCTTAAAAAATAATGAACTTTAATACTCGTATTTACCACAAGTTTAGGGAGCACACTGCACACAGTGAGGAAAAGCAAAATCCAGATCAAATACAGTGGCAATATGTGGTACGTAAGTACTGTTGCACTACCGCAAAGAATCGCAGCTACAAAATGGTTTTTCTACTCTGTCGTCTTAACGTTTGCACATTAAATTTTTCATTAATCATAATGTGGCAAAGTACGTTTCTGCCATAGGTGAAACTTTCCTGATATGCTGTCATTTTATAAAAAGCCTGTGCGGGTATAACGCTAGTGCAGAATACTGTAATAACATGCAGTATTACTTACTTATTAATTTTTTTTTGGCCACGCCCTTTGAGTGTCAGCAGCTGAAATTATTTTTTTAAATATACTACGATGGTATACTATGTTTGTGCCAAAGATCAGATTTTTTTGAATTTAGACCCGGAAAATGTGCCCTGGTAAGAGCTCTTTTTCCTGTGTACGTTCGACAGTAACGATATTACGAAGCATCAGGCATCATTGATTCAATGCCGGGTTTCTTTTACTCGTTCTCGTGTCGGTGCACATTATCAAGGGACGTTCCACGATGCCGTCATGATGTATGCAATGGCTGTCAACGAGACGTTAGAGGATGAAAATGATATTACTGCCGCCAATATCCGACTCAAACTGATCAACAAAACATTTAGCGGTAAGTCGAAATTACTGATGCGTCACCTCACTATGATGCGCAGCTGCAGGAAAATTGTCTAGAATTTTACACATGATTACAGTGCCGGCTTCGGTATATACCATGAACCGAATTTTTACTTGCATGTAAAGGTCAACCAACTTTCTTTGTTTAGGCTCACATGGAGTTGTGCGTCTCGGTCCTTCGACCGATCGTGTGGCAGATTACGAAATTTTGCAACTTCGCCACGACGATACCGAATTCAAGGTCAGTGTTCACACGTTCAGTGAATAAACAGGTACGCCGCACAGTAGAAACAATCAATAGATACCGCGGAAGTTGCGAGACTTTATTCAGTTCATTATTATTATTATTATTATTATCGTACTACAGTAGCCAAACTCCATTACGGAGACTTATTACCCTCAGGAGAAAAACCGTTGGGCAAACCAGGCTATTGGAAATTTTTTTGTTAATTTTGAAAATTTTATACTTTTTTTGGTTTGATTTTATGGGATAAAAGTTACCCACCTAGGAATGTATCTAAACTCGAACTGCTCAGTACGCATCATTTTTTGGACGCTTAGAAATCGAAATTGGGTGATGCTATATCAGTTACATGCCATAGTCTACAGCGAGCAATGCATCTGATCTGTAAGCTTGTGGAAACAAATGTCACGCCCAGGCTGTGCAGCATTCTCATGTCATGTGATCATTTCCAGCCATTTGCGGAAGTGCGCGGCGAGAATGGGCAGTATACGGAAATACGGCCAGTAATATGGTTGAATCGTGCTAATCAACCTCCACCCGATACACCTCCTTGTGGCTTTGATGGATATGATCCCGATTGCGTGGCCGCCGGTGCGTACACGTAAAACAGAGCATTTATTTACTTTAATGCCCGGAAGGAGTACAGCTGTACAAGCCAGGTCGGTGATTAATTTCCTGTGAGATGATATACAGGATAGCTGTTACGCTGCAATATGACAAAACCACTGTCCTACAATTGGCGCAGTCCATGGAAGTATGTTTTTCGCTGAATCGTCCTGTGTGATACACATTGTGTAACAACGGTGTGCTAGTGCAATTACGAACTTCGTATTACCATGCACAGGGGAGATATCATTACACTCAGAGTCTCAGACGCCCATGGGAAAAGTGAATCACTTTTCCCATGGGCAAACTACATTACACTACATTCACTGCAAAAGCTAACGCGTTGAAGAAGAAGCTATACCATTGTCAGGTTTCGAACAACTGACCAGGGCACATAGGGGTCTTCCAAATTCAGAAAAATTTCATGTTTTGTAAAATTGTAGTATACTATCGTAGTATGCTTAAAAAATATTTTCATCTGCCATGGTCATGGGGGCGTGGCCAGACTAAATACACATTTTCGATAATTTGTTATGAAGTGCAGTACGAGTACAGCTTAGGACAAAATGGTCGCATACCCAAAATCTCCACATTCAGTACGCATGCAGCGCAGTGCACCGTACGACTGAGTTCAAAATATCCGGTTCGTACAAATGCACTGCACCGCTTGCGTACAGAATGCTGGGTATGGGGCTATGCGACCATTTCGTCCTACATTGTACGTACTGTATCTGCTATTATTAGTAAAAAAAGTTTTTTCCACGGTTTACTACATACAATACTAATTGATAAAAAATTTTCGAAAATGTGTACTCAGGCAGCAATGACACGAGCCGCTGCACGTGGGCATCGTTCACATCACCACTGGACAGCTGCAAAAGTTCACGGTGCTACAGTATAAGTACAATATAAAACTAATTACGAATAATTCCACTCACTGCACTGCATAGTATGTGATAATATGCAAACTTTCAAATGTTGTCTGGCCACGCCCCCTTGACCATGGCAGAAGAAAATATTTTTTAAGCATACTACGACAGTATACTACCATTTTACAAAATATGAAATTTTTCTGAATTTTGGAGGACCCCTGTGTGCCCTGGTGAGTTTCTCAAATTGCTCATTCGGCAAGAATAGTGTCTTTTCTACAATCGAGAACCATATGAGTTCAATATGGCGCGTTGCAAAAACGTTATCAATTTTGTTAGATATTTATTTTGGAAGTTACTCCGTATTGCAGTGTGATTTTACTACGACGTATTGAAGTGTATTGCAGAAGTATTGAAATTACTACGTAGTGCAGTGTTTTATGGTGCGTATTCATTTTGTACGGTAATACGGTAACAGGAAAGTATGTATGCTATGCGTACGAGTGTTGGAAATGGGAGACAGCCGCTGTACGGCCAAAAACAATTAATTCTTTAAATCTGTTACAGCCCGAACAACGCTAGCGGCGAGCCTGGGTGGAGCCTTGGGAGTTCTCGTGGTATGCGGAGTAATTTTCGCTGTGGGATACCGGCAAATTAAACTCAACATGGAGCTCAACGATGTGAACTGGGTGGTGCGGCATAGCGACATCATCGTGCAGAAAATACGACAGAACAAGAGTATCATTTCCACCGCCACGGAAAGTTTCGTGTCTCTAGCGCCGAGCGGAAAATCAGCATTATCCCTTTTTCATCCCGCACTGAATTTTGGCCAGTCCACGCCGACGGGACTGAACAAGGGTGGTAACACGGCGATCGCCGAATCTGTTATGCTCACCAGCGTGACAATGGTGATTTGTCGCAGTACAGCTGCTATACTGCGGCCGTGTGAGCATGCCAGAATCGCATTAACGGAGAGGACACGGAATGAAGTGCGCATTGTTAAATCCATGAGCCATGACAATGTGGCCAAATTCCTAGGCGCATGCATTGAACCGACACATACAGCGGTATTAATGGAATACTGCTCCCGTGGGAATTTGCATGTAAGCTAACAAACTATGTCCGTTTCAAGCCATTTAACAAGTCTCAAGCCATTTCACCACGTAGTTATCGAGATCTGAAAAACTTACCAAAAGGTGACAATGCCATAACTTTTCACGGTCAAATTGTTTTTGCAAACCAGCAAAAAACCAGGACCTGCGGGACTTTGTAGTGATATTACATCTACAGCCGAATACGTAGTTTTATGCCTATGACTGGATATTTTGCAACACCAATCATTTTGAACTCCAGTGACCAATAGGCACTTAATTTCTTCGGAGAATTTATCTTAAATTTGTCAGTTTTATGACAAACATTGGGATAATTACTTCTTAGTAATTTTATTATGGTTTATTGGTTCTGTTGGTCCTTATGCGCAAACCATCTCTGTAAGCAAAATGTTTGTTTGATGTGTAAGAGTATTAAGTAAAGTGTAGGCGGAAGGAGGGCGTAGCAGCCGTTACTACATAGTTTTTCGAAATCTACTGTATATCTGTATAGTACGCAGGGGCTTTTTCTGTGCAGGATGTTCTTCATAATGATGCACTGAATCTGGAATGGCTGTTCCGCATCTCCTTCCTAACGGACATCGTCCAGGGTCTTGCATACATCCACAATACCGTACTGGAACACCATGGCCGCTTGACTTCGAGGTGCTGTTTTATCGATAAGCGATTCCTTCTAAAGATTTCCGATTACGGGTTGCCGTCATTTTACCACCCCGGTCGCCAGTGGGGACCCGCTGACCTTTTATGGACGGCTCCGGAGCTGCTACGGGGCAACGCCCACATGATACCAACCCAAGAAGCGGATATTTATAGTGTCGGTATAATACTGCAGGAGATCATTTTGCGCGAAAGCCCATATTACCAGAGTAATCTGACGGCCGACGGTGTGTATCAGTGAAACATTGTCCACCGACTAACATACATGACGTGCACGTGCATGCGTTTCCTCGGTCATTATGCAGGCTAGCAAATCCGGCAATTCATAACCTCCATTATGGTTCGATTACAGAAACTGTATGGCATTTAATAGCCGGCGAAAATCCCCCTTTCCGCCCTCTGGTGGATGATCCGTTTTGTAACCCGGAACTGATTGCCATCATGCAGTCATGCTGGGCAGAAAATCCTTCGGATCGACCACGACTTGGACAATTGCGGACATCCATAAAAACGTTGGCCAGGTGAGCGGTTAGAAAACAGGCTGAGCGATCATTTATCCGAAAAAATGTTCCAATAGCCTGGTAAGATATTTCCGTTGAAAGGAGTTGGCTACTGTAAAGCGAAAAAAAAAAAATAATAATAATAATAATAATAATAATAATAATAATAATAACAGGGCTACGTTTCCATTCTCGTTCCGTTCCTGTTAACTAAGGAAAGAAAATTTTTATGCTATGCCTTCGCTTCATGATCTATATAAAGTAACGGTTAATTATCAAAAGCCAAATCTGATTACGATTTCTTGAGCATTTAACTATTCAAAATGCGTGCCAGGTCTTTTGGTGTCGAGCGGAACAGCATAATCGATACGCTACTAGAAAGGATGGAGCAGCACACCCAAAATTTGGAGAATTTAGTGGCGGAAAAGACTACTGAACTTTTGGATGAGAAGAAGAAAACCGATCATCTGCTGTATTCAATTCTTCCAAAGTAAGCATTATAATGTTATGTATATATATCCGAGGATAGAGTGTTGCTGAAAAGAGTTCTTGTTTTAAACTTTCCGCACTCTAATTACTGTAAATCCCCTTCAATTGGTACTCGCACCAAAATTTCCATAATTTATGCTGCTTACCATATATGGCGGGAAATATAAAATTTTGTGTCATTATTGCCAAATCAATTTATGTTGTGGGATTTCCCACAATTTTCTGCGTGGCTGTATCCGTCTTTTTGTAAATTCATGGCTTAGTTGCTAATGTGGCTACTTAAATTCTACAGTTATATTGCAACCGGAAATCGGCATTTCGGTTTCGAAACGGTATTAACTCCTTAATTTGGATTACTGGTTCTCACACTCGCCCTACTTCTTTTTGCTGCCTTATATGGGCTCCCCTTATATTACTCTCTCTTATCTGGGCTCCCGGCTAGTTAGCAATACCCGTCAAGTTAAATTTACCGGATTTATAGCAGAAACATTTTCTACTTCTTTCAACCGGATTTACAAGTAAGCACACCAAAGAATTCCGAAATTTCACATCCAAATTATACCTATATATATATTTATTATATTATCTATATAATAATATTTTTTATTAATTTCAACCGGATTTGCCAAACTGAAAGACAACAAACTGAAAAATGCCGAAATTTCATATCCCATTAATTTTTCATGTGGTTCTTGGTCCATTTAAGCGGGCGACGTTTCTTAAATAAATTTTAGGAAGATTTTGAATCTGTCGTTGATGCAACCTGATTACCTGAGCACTTTGAAACAAACCAAATGCTACAAAATAAATATTTTAAATAAATCAAAATTTTCAGTCAGGCATAACAAGCTGCGAAAGTGTGAGTAATAACGTAACCGCCCATGCAGAGGATTGCTCATATTGCTCGGGAGCCCAGATAAGGGAGAGTAATATAAGGGGAACCCATATAAGGCAGCATTCGAAGTATGAAGGATTATTTGTTAAAATGCAATACAGTTGATTTATTTAACCTTCAGTTACCTTGTACTGATGGAGCGGCAGCATTAAATGAATTATTTTTTATTTGATTTATTGTTTTGGAACAGTGATGTTACCGCTTCTTGTGAAATCAATAAAAAAAAACACATTGATAACCCAGTTTGCCTCGCTCGGACAGAGCTGTCGCCGAACAGTTGAAGCGCGGAGAACATGTGCTACCGGAAAGCTTTGAGAGTGTTACCCTGTACTTCGGCGATATTGTCGAGTTCACCACCATTGCCAGCTGCAGCGGACCCCTCGATATGGTGAACTTCATGAATGATCTTTACAGCCACTTTGACGAAATCATCGCCGCGTACGATGCGTATAAAGTGGAAACCATTGGCGACTGTTATCTGATTGCATCCGGATTACCGCATCGCAACGGTCTCAACCATGCAGTGGAAGTTGCGCGAATTGCTTTTCAGTTGCGCCAAGCCATAACGGGTTTCACTATAGCCCATCTCCCGGAAAGAGCCGTACAACTGCGCATAGGACTAAATTCCGGTAAGACGACGGCAACCGGCAAACCGATTGTTACCGATTCTTTACGCTAGATTCCAGCTAAAAGAGCTCTTTTTGTAGGACCATGTGTTGCCGGAGTTGTCGGCATTGCCACGCCTAGATACTGTCTGTAAGTTGGGAAAATCAAAGAAACTGAAAAACCGAAATTTCAAAATGCAAATCTGTCTATGAGTAGGCCTCATGTCCACGAAGCGGAAGAAATCATCGACGGTGTCACTGTAGAGTAAAATTTGTTATAACGCCAATGCATCACATTGCACGAACAAAATTAATGGAATGCTTTAAGGGATTTGGCCCGGTACATAGCATTAAATTCGTGTACACTACGGGAACTTTCGCTGTCGCGCACTCCCAAACACTTTTTTCCATTGCTTTATGGAACTTTGTAGCCAAATGATTTGTATGCAGCGGCGTGGAGTCCGTTTTCGCGCGCAGCATCCGACTGGGCAGTTATGGCAGTAAGAAAATTCCAAAACGTTTAAATGCATTCAGGTGTACCAAACGTTTCATTATGGACCGGTTGTAACCGTCCAAAACGTCCGGACGTCTTAGACGTCCGGACGATTTGGACGGTTACAACCGATCCCTTTCAAATTTTATACGTAAATTCACATAACCATGAAGATCGTTTTTACACCGACCCACTGTTCTAGCATGTTTTTCAAATTTTAAAATGAATTTCAAAAATTTTAAAACTCGTTTTAAAATTCGAAAATAACCGTGGAAGGCTGGATCCGTTTAGGGACGCTCTTCATAGTTATGTGCAAAAGTAGAAAGGGATCGGTCCATAATGAAACGTTTGGTACACATGAATGCATTTAAACTTTTTGTAATTTTCTAATAGCCATAACTCCCGAACTTGATGTTGCGCGCGAAAACGGATTTCCCGCCTCTGTATACAAATCCTTTGGCTACACAATGTCAGAAAGCAACCCAAAAGAGTGTTTGGAAGTGCGCGAAAGCGAATAATCCCGTCAATGTACACGAATTTAGTGCTATGCACCGGGCCAAATCCCTTAACTGTATGACGTATTTATCGAATTTGTGCAAAAAAGCTTGAATTTTTTAGAGTAGGGCTTGTTTCCCGGAGGCCCGTTATTTCGGGTGGGGGGGGGGTTGCATTATTTTCCAAACAGCAAGGCAGGGAAGGGGCCAGTAATTTCCCAGCAGAGGCGCATTTTGCTCTGCCCAAACTGAAGGCAGTGATTATACGACTGCAGATCTGCAATCTGTTTATTAGGCAATCGGCCAATACACAATTCGCGTGTGCAGCTTTACACCAGTTAAAGCATATATTTTAAACAGTGAAAAATTATATATGACTTAAATCCAGTTTTTTTTAAATAAGCGTGCAATTCCCTGTAATTTTATCGTGGTTATGCGTAACCAGTGTACTGACAACAATCACCACATCCTTATGTCCGCTTATGACATTTTTATTGGATGTTTACAAGCGCAACAAAACTGATGGTTTTGTTACGCTTGTCGTTTATCGACACCCCCGTGGGCTGCGCTTTCGGGGAGTGGTGTGCAGCTTCCCAAAGCGGATGCGGGAAGATGCAGGCATATTGCGGGCGGGTAGCTTATTACGAAGAGGTGTAACTTTGATAACTGCGGTACTTTGCTGTGTGATGTTGCTCGGAAAAGCATGTATGGCTTTGAATTTGTGCACTTCAAATGTTGCTGTTCGCAGGTTCGGTGATACGGTTAATGTTGCTTCGAGAATGGAATCGACAGGCGAGCGTAAGCCGAAATTCAAAATCTGACCAGGGCCCGGTCAGAGGTTTGACTCAGAAATTGATTTGTTGTCTGAAGAGGGAGTCGTCCTAGGGTGCACTTAAAAAATATTTTTCTTCGCCACTGGTGCAATGGGCATGATCAAACACAATTGTCATGGTCTAGCTATTGCTTATTCTATGTATCGTAGTGGTACGGTAAGGCTTTACTTTTACAGCGAGTACACACCTTACACTGCTAAGTTTTATTTTCCGAGCATGGTCTTACCCGTTATCACTGATCCTCCTTCCTTAAACCACTTGATCTCCTTCCTTAAATATATTTAAAATTTAATTTTCTGATTTCAGTGTTTTGACAATATAATATTTCTAGAGTATCTCGCCGATTGTCGAGTTTGCGGAAGGCCGCGCTGCGCAGCAGATATTTTGTAGACTGATACGTAGTGGATTCCTTAAAAATTTTAAATTCTTAAAGCAAGTCAGAAAACAAAATTAAATGAAGGAACAAGCTAACAGTCAACAGATAGTAGACTAGCGACAACGGGTACCTTAACGCTCGGAAAAAATTTATACTAGTAGCAGACAGCAGTGCTGAGCAGGTGGCAATGGGCAGCATGGCAATACGTAAGCCTTAACCGTGTGCACGACTACCCCACTATTTCCCTGTACAGCGCTTGCGCAGGTCAAATTTCAGAAGAGAGTTATACATAAGCATATACAGGACCGCACGTCTTTTACGCCTGTATTACGTTTTCTTGAGCTATTTCAGCCGTCCGTAGCATACCGAATTGTGGAGAATTTAGTTCTCTACAATTCAGTATATACGTAACTTGTCCAGGAAAATATAAGCTGAGCTATGCAAAAGGAGTTTTACCGAAAATATCTTAATTCCAACTGCTGGATCACCTTGCGAACACCCTTGTTTGGCAGTTCAGTGCAGCAATACAGCGCAAGACTATTTCGTATGATGCTTTCTGCAACTATTTCAGACAGTTTTGCTTGACAGATTCTGCATCTAAATGTAGAGAAAAAAATTCTCTACGTTTAACTTTCTACCTGACAGTCCAATCTCTCCTGAAAAACACGAAGTGGCGTTTTCTTGCCTGCTTCGCAGTCAGCGAAAACATTCCGTCGCGGACTCGCTGTGCAAATTACGTATTATTCGTGAACTATAATTGAACACTGCCGTTATTTATTTCAAAACTTCACTCAAACACGTTTTAAGAACATTTAAACAAACAAAAGTTTGTAATTAACGTTTGTAGTTTGTAATTGTTTGTAGTTTGTAGTTTGTAATTTAAATTATTAACAATAACTTGTAATTAACGGTATAGTCAGGGACCATACACAAACTGCGTACAGAACGAATTTTCGGGAACGTAGTTTATAGATAGTCCCTTACAGTATCTTCCTTTGTGTAACTTGATGCTTGTGCTGTGCTAAACCACCCCCCTAAAATGTGCGAATCAGAATCGTGTAACATTTTGGTTACAGACTTTCCATAGACCTGACGAAAACAAGCCGTAAACTAAATAGTGTACAAAGACTAGTCTTTGTAATTATTCTAGTTTAACCAACTGCCAACTGGTGTCAGTCCGCTCCGGAAAACGTTAAAATAAAAGAAATACTGATTCCACCCATAGAGGCCCATGCTTTCTCTCGTCTGAAATATTTTGTGCACAGTGCATTACAAAGCCCGCACGCACACGGGTAATGCTCATTACACCACGCACAGTACAATACTTCAACCTTAATATTCGTGTTTGACGAAGCCCACTGGACAGTTGCTGGTATGTTTTTTAAAGATATCCTCGGCCTACTCTCTATTTAGACAAAAAACCAAATTTTTCTTAAAGGCCAGCTTCTGAACGGGGTCCTGGTGAGTTAATGTTTTTTATTCTAGGAAATGTCAGAGTGCGCTATGACTGACGATACGCAGAGTGAATTTTTCTCGGTTTTTAAACATTTTCCGATTTATTTCTAGCGATGAAGATCCAAATAACCCAAGAAACCGAAAGAATATTAAAGAAGTTTCATTCCTTTATTGTGGAATGTCGAGGAGAAATTTCCGTAAAAGGAAAAGGAATCATGCGGACTTTCTGGTTATTGGGAGAAAATAAGGCACTATTCCACGCAGTAACGTGACATTGAGGGCGCCGCTAAGATTATTGGGATAGCCTTATTTTTTTTGTAACCAATTATCGTACTTTGCTCGATGTCTTGTAATAAATTGTCACTTTCAGCTCGGTGAGTGTTATTATTTTGACCGCTTCATTGACAAGAGTAAGAACTGACAATGAAACTGATTGTCATAGTATGGTTTAAATACAGATACTAATAGTGAGTTTGCGGTGACAAACTGCATTTATAAACGAAATCGATACGTACAAACAAGTGACGTCACCGGGACGTTGTGAGCCATATATTCAAAGCCCATTTCTGAGCGGTCTCTACCGTCACTTGTTTGTATACCTAGATTTCGTGTATACATGCAGTTGTCACCGCAAATCCTCTAATAATTCTTCCGATACGAGATTCTAATACTGTATCGTCGACTCAAGTTGGCACCATTTTTTACACTGCGCCAAATCCATGCTATACAGCACTATGCGACGTGCAAGCGTGCACTGAACTGCTAGAACAGCATCATACAATCAACCAGGGCGGTTGATAGCGACTGTTGCCAAAATACGGCCTGATAGTATCGAGACCCCCGTTATATTTTCAAAAATGAAACCTTTAACAGTTTTTTTATGATAATTCTTTTCTTTGAATACACCGTTAGATTCGTCGTAAAATTCTGAACAAAACGGTTCAGGCCGAATTTTGAAATTCGCATCCCCAAGGCGGGCTTAAGATCTACGACCACGAGCGGTCGCCCAAACGACACCCAAAATTCTTGGGCATTCCCCCTTGAGCACGGGAGAACTGGGCTGATTTGGACGAATCCCCCATAATCTCGGGTGTTATATTTTTGACAAAAATTATGAAAACTAACCTATAATTTTAAATTATGAAAAACAATACGTTCAGTCGTTTTTTGAAGGGATTCGATTTCAACCGCCCGGGTGGATTGTGTGATATTTTTCAAGCAGTTCAGTGCACGCCTGCACAGTGCACGGTGCTGTATAGCATGGATTTGGCGCAGTGTAAAAAATAGTGCCAACTTGAGTCGACAACACAGTAATATTACCGTACTATTAATGATGATACTTCAGTAGAGATACTAATAATTACTTGAGCGTCCATACTGGCTGTATTACATTAATAATCTATCGAAGTGACAGTTTTGCCGCATTATTTTTGCGGCGAAATAGCCATTAGCTTTTTGTTTTGTTAGGTCGTTTTGCTACAGCTGGTGACCGGAATATGAAACTGTATAATTAAAGTGACCGGAATATGAGAAAACGCGAAGTATGTTATGTCGTTCTGTCTAATAAAAGGGGGTCCCCGTTTAATTCTTCATATTCCTGCGCCGTGTCCCTGTCCATTCAGCGCCCAGTTTGTTCGTCCGCCCATCAGCAAACGTATACGTGCAACGGTACAAGTGAAAGCTTCTAAAAAACCAAATCACTGACCGACAATTAAATACAAACCACAACCGAACCGACGTATTAATCAGCCAAGAATTCTTAGGTAGATATTAAATTTTATTGGCTCCAAAGACAGTCTCTGTAAGTTTACGTTTCCGGCTTGTACGGGCCGTTAGTGGACGTGTTGATAGTGGGGTTCACTTTGATCCCGCAACCGTGACATAAGTGCTGGAGAGAGCTCAACCATCGTCTGAGCATGGAGCGGTATTCTCGGTTCATAGTGAAAAAGATCACCTGCAAATATTCCCTCTGTTAACCATAATCGGAGGTTTCTTACGATAGCACGAATGTCTACTATTCATGCAGATGTACTATGCCTGAAGCAATTCCGATATACTAATTCCGCTATGCTAGTTTGCATCGTGTCTGTAAGTTCACATAGTGATTACATGCGTTCTCGTTCTCGAGATGCTACTGCCACTACATCATTATGAAACTATCGGTATTTTGGAAAAAATTAGGGCATGTTTGCGAAACCTCCGGACTATTCGCGAAAACATCGATGTTTTCGCATAAAAGACGGCATCCTTGCGAAATCAACGGACTTTCACCGAAATTATCGCTTTACATACTTTGAAAAAATAACGGCATTTTTGCGAAACCTCCGGACTATTCGCGAAAATATCGATGTTTTCGCATAAAAGACGGCATCCTTGCGAAATCAACGGACTTTCACCGAAATTATCGCTTTACATACTTTGAAAAAATAACGGCATTTTTGCGAAACCTCCGGACTATTCGCGAAAATATCGATATTTTTGCATGATCATGATTACATACCGGGTTGCCACCATATCCCAATAAAAAGACGAATCGTAACCACAGCACCGTTTCCGTGGTGGGCCGCGCTAGACCCTGGTCTTCCAAGAGCGTCAACAAAGGCTGCGGAAAGAAGCAGACACAGTGCCACAGTGCCGACACCAGCAGGACGAGCGCTAGCTGCCAGGAGCCGCGGTACGCCGTCGATGTCCGGTTACTGCGGCGCGTTAGCTTTTGCACAGCAACAAATGCACACATTAGAGCGTAAATGCCCCCTATCAACGCTAGCGGAAGATATGACACCAGCGTCTGGTGGATCGTACGGGCTGCCGGGGTGCGGGGTTTAATAGCACAGACGTTCGTTGGTAGGATCATTTCAACTCTCAATTCCCGACCAGTTATCAGCGGAACAAAAAACCCGCCACACATCAGCCACGTCACGATGATGAAGGCAATGTTGACGCTCTGCTTGGTCCAATAGGCGCGGAAATGAATGGGAAAGCAGAGGGCCACAAGACGGTTGACGGCCAGGAAGACCCAGGAATAGTAGCCGGCGGTACGGAATATGGCAAAAGGGGCTTGAATGAAGAAGCAGACTGTCGGGGTGACCTTTAGAGAAACAAGCTTCATTAGGCGTTTTGAGCTATTAACAAGCACAGTAAACTGAATCAACAATAATCTCGAGAATTGTGCGTACGTAAGGGAAGTATGCCGTTTCATACTCGTACATGCACAGTGGACTTCAAAAAGGTATTACAAGAACCACGCACCCACAAAACGCGCGCAACCCGGAACTTACCTGTACTCAAACGCAAATTCCGGGCTGACCAGCGGCCTACTGTTATTATCACTTGTGACTTGTACAATTCCCAACGAAAACTATTTACCGATATCTCAAACGATTAAGAGAAAAATTACAAGAATTTTGATACCAAACAGGGTGGGTTAAATGAGATCTAGGGGAAGAACGAAATCCAGCAACTGAAGAATCTACCAGATTGAGGATCTGGTAGATGGAGAAATTTACCAGCGAAGCAACCTAACAGCAGCGCGAGCGCGGGTGTACGGAGGAGCCACTCCTCCTCATAGTTTTGTCAGCGAACCAAAGTTTTGCAGTTCTTTCAACCTTTAAAAACAGTTTTGCGATTTGGAAGCAAGACTAGCACTGTGATTTAGTGTAATAACGATCTGTACGTATACTTTTGGCGCGTTCACGCGAAAACTTTCAGTAAATCAGTCCATAACAAGACTGTGAGGAGGAGTGGCTCCTCCGTACACCGACGCTCGCGCGGCTGTTTGGTTGTTCTACTGTCTTTTGCTGGCGTTTTTCTCCATTAATCGACTTTTAGATCGTCAATCTGGTCGATTCTTTTGTTGCTAGATTTCGTCGTCTGAGCCGTTTGCTGTTTTCTTTTCTCCTCAGTATACTGCTGCGGTGACCTTTTAGGTGTTGTAAGTGAGAGAGATATAAAGGTGTGCGTCTGAGCAGCTTGCTTTTTCCTTTTGCCCCGCAGCAGAATCTGCTGCGGTGGCCTTTGACGTGTTGTATGTGTTGGAGATATAAAAGTGTGCAGTGTGTTGGCATTCAGTTTCCGTTTCTGTTCACCCAGGGGTGAGCTAGCCACTCATCCCCTGTTAAAGAACGATCATTAATTTCGGGATTTACTTTAAACAGAACTCGCTAACCGGATGTTTTACGTAGAAATATTTTCCCCCTCTTTAACTGCATGAAATCGTTACGTCGCAGACTGTCATGAAACACCGGAAAAAAGTTGTCCGCAGTGAAAGCAGCTTCTGTTTATACACGGATTTCGCACTATGTACCACGACACACATCATTAATTTTAACAAAAACATTTTGCTTAGGAAATAGTTTCTCAGCGAAATATAACTTGAAAATCGGTAAGGGCTTGTTCTGGCGCACATTTAACTTAACGTTAACATTTCAAACAGTAGCTCGCTGAACAGTCTAATGGTGCTGCAGAATTTCGATGAATTTTTCAGTTCAGCGCAAAAAAATGTCAGTACAGTAATACACAACTCACAGTTACGTCTTACTGGATATTGTGCATACAGGATCTGCGTGAAGCTAATCGGATGACTGATGCAGCACATAATCACTTCCACCGCGGATGCATGGACGATTAGCAGTCGCGTGCCGCTCCGATCACGTCCCGCTGTTCGCCTGGACATCTGCCAGTGCTCCCATACGGCACCCATTAGGAGGATACAGGACGCTCCTCCCAGCGCGCAAAAGGACATGGAAACACCATACCACACCATTAATCGCTGCTGGGAGGTAGTGCCAATTCTTTGGCTTGCGTTTCGGATCGGTTCAAGATAGGATGAATAATTTCCGTGCAAATCCATCGATTGATTGCCGAGGGACCACCGTGTGTAGCCGCCATCACTTACTAACATTGTGTAGCAAAAAGTGTATGATAAGCTCAACGAAACCTTCATCAACCCTCGATTTTTAACCAATTTGTTTTCACACTACCGTTTTATAAGTCGCAGTTTACATGCAGCTATCCATGCTACGCAACGAGTACATATGTATACATATGTGTATATATGTGTACACATGAGTACTATGTGTACACATGTACAATACGTGAATGTGTGTACATATCGCATACCGTGACGCATCTCCTCCTCTCAGCCTGAGGAGGTCACCAGCAAAATTCCAGCTTCATTCCCGTATTAATTGGATTTCCAGTCACCAAGCACCATGCCCACGCCATACTCTACCCTAGTGGTTTCGTGTACAGCGAATTATATAAGTAATCGATTTACTGGTCTGAACACTCGCCCTCTATCCCACCGGAAACATCCTACGGATCTACGTACTTAACGTGTGCTAATAAG